CAGAGCAGGCTGGACAGACAGAATGGGACTGCTACCTGGGGCCCGCGTGCAGCTCCTTTCAGTGATAGCACCCTCTCGAGCCCAGTTATCTGGAGACCACCCCTGGTGCAGAAGCAAGCCAGCGGTTTCCGCCAGTGACTCTTCTCTGACAACCCTGTCATCAGTCCCTTTCTGCGGGTGGTGGCCCAGGCTCAGCAGGTCAGGCCCTTGAGTGTCCCCAGGCAGTCCATGAGCTGGCGGGCGCCAGGTAGCAGGCGTGCTCCTCTCTGTTAAGAGGGGGGAGTCCTTCATTCATTCATTCACCAGTGAATTGTGCAGGCCCCAGCCACAGAGTAGGGAGCTGCCGGGACAGGTCTCAGGGGTTGGATGAGAGGAGGCGGGGGGTGGTGGCAGGAAGCACCAGCCTCTGCCCTGCCCTTGGGGCCCCAGGGCCTGGCGGGGCCCTGGGACACGGCCAGCACAGCACCCACGGCCCAATCCGGGCCTGACCTGGCTGGGGGAAGGAGGCGGCTTCCCTGCAGGCCCCGTGTGGGCAGCCCTGGGTCACGCAGCGCGGCTCTGGGTCAGAGAGGAAATGCAGCAGAAGGGACTGCTTGACCTGGCTCAGGTCAGGTCAGGGTGGCTAGGGGTGAGGGGAGCAGGCCCATTTAGGATTTCAGTCCAACACGTGCAGGGGAGGGTGAAGGAGGCCTGGTCCCTCCCTCTCTCCCCAGCCCCAGTCCCAGCCTCCACAGTGGAGGGGACGTCCCCCACCCTGTGACGGGGAGGGCTTCTCTAGGGGTTCACGGAGGCGGGACAAGAGGCCCCAGGCACCGCCGAGGCCCCACGGCCGAGAGGCAGCCCCCTGGTCTGTGGCTGAGTCCAGGACTGAGTGGCGTCAGGCAGCGGGCAGCCCACTGGGCTTAGAGCCCTCTCCAGTCCTCCGGGCTGGCCTGGGCAGTGCCAGGGCAGCTGACGGAGTCTGGATGCCAGCTGGGTCAGGGGTGAGGTAACTGAGGGCGGCTGCCCAAGGGTGGGCCTGGCACCTCACGCCATCTGTCCCCCTTTGTGGCCAGTGCCCCAGGCCTGCACTGGGCCCCACGCCCGGCTGAGCACGGTGAAGCCCAGAGGCATGGCTGGTTTGCAGTTATCCCCGGGGGCTGACCCCAGGCACCAGAGCCTGTCTCCTGCTCCATTTTGCTGGCCAGGGGCCCCCAGGTGCTCTCTTGCCCTTCTGTGCCCCTGTCTGTCCCGTGGATGGCAGGGGGAGGCCATCTCCAGGCAGGGTACCCAGCAGAGACCGGGGTACCAGCTGATGTCAGGGGCAGGGAGGCTGCCTCGACCCTTGGGGCAGCCCCTCCTTGATGCTTTCTGCCTTCAGTCCCTCTCATGCCAAGGTCCCCGCTCCCACCCGAGCTTGGAACTCGGACGTGAGTGTCGTGGCCGTGACAGGCCGAGCGTGGGGGCCGCCACCTTCGTGGAGAGCTGGCCGGGGGCGGGGCGGGGGTCGCGGCCCTCGGCTCTCCAGCAATGGGAGAGGCTCCTGCAGAAAGGGCCTCACCCCTTGGGGGCTTCCAGCCCCGGCTCCCCTCGGGGTTCTTGCCTCCCCTCCTCTGTTCAGCAGCATCTCCTGGACTCCCCGGTCACTGCCCCGGACAGCTCCTCAGACGCTGTCCCCCAGCCCAGAGTCCCTCTGGGAGGAGGCTGCGGCTCGCCCTCCCAGCCGCAGCCCCCAGGCCTGTGACACAGCAGCTCGGACACCACAGGCCGGCGGAGGCTCCCTGCTGGCCCCCGGGCACGGGCCGCACATGCCTGGCTCCCCGGGCCCTGGCCAGCACCCCGGTGGAGCCCCAGCCCGTGGTACTGCCCTCACCCCCTCCCTGGGAGCCTGTGGGCCCAGCACCGCCCAGCACGGCAGAGACCTGGGAATCGGGCCCAGAGGCCTCGTCTCATCTATTTTTAAGCGCGAGCCCATGAAAGATTCACAGGCTGCTTTATTTACTGGGGGCGGGGGGGGGCGCGGGTGGCACACCCACTGAGAAGGCCCCACACACAGGCCCCTGCAAGCTTGCCCGAGCACCCTCCCCTCCGGGGGGCACCTCCTTCCGCAGGCCAGGCTGGGCTCTCCCCGCCCGCCTTCCTCCCAAAGAGCTTCTCCCTAGGAGGGCCGGCCCCCCGGAGACGCTCCCCAGAGGGGGGGGCTCCTCCCGGTGCCCCCGACCGGGTGCACTGCACCCCACTCCACGCTGTCCCTGATCTCCTGTGACTCGGAGCCTTTGTCCCCTCCTGGCTCCCGCATCCTGGCTTTATTTTTTTCCGGGCAGGTTTGAAGGGAGAGGAATCCATCTCCTGGTGCCAGAGGCAGAGTTGGGAGAGGCCTGGAGAAGGGCCCCGAGGAGGAGACGGAGGCTCGGGGAGCTTGGAGCTTAGCCATCTGTCTGGAGCTCAAAGATGTCGCTCGGCCGGGAGGGGTGACAGCGGCCTTCAGACATGCAGAGGCCCGGCCCTTCCCTTCGGAGGCCCCACCCGAGCCAAGGCCAACCCAGAGACCTCAGAGTCCCACCCCTGAGGCCGGGACTGGATGAGCAGGTGGGTCGTCAGGCCCAGCACCACCCCCCGCCGACCCCCACGGCAGGGCCGGTTTAGGCCAGATGGTCACCTGGTGTCACGTGCTGCTCGGCTGGGCCCCCGGCAGACGCCAGGAGGCCTCTCAGCTGTCACCCAGCCAGGGCTGGGGCTGCTGACTTATTATGAACCGGGCACCTTCCCTGGGTGCTTGCGGGGACGCGGGGCACCCCGAGAGGGTCACGAAGGACGCTGGCACACCCCTGCCCCTCAAACTAGTGCTCCCTGAGGAGGGCACGCTAATTTTAGAGGAAAACCCCTTATCTCAGGGTCTCCACCGACCCAGAGGATCCTCTGGTGACTCACCTTCTAGAAACAAAAAGAGTTCCTTTCACAGGAGAATACTGAATATGTGTCTCAGACCCAGCGGAGTCTGAGGCCTCCCCTGTCCCCCCTGTTCCAGATCAGAGGCAAAAGTGGACACTTTCTTTCCACATTTCCCCAGAGGAGCAAGGAACTGGGGAAGAAGGTAAAAATTGAGCCACAGCCCCTCCATCTGTCTGGAGACAAACAGTGGCGTCCGGAACCACCATGCCTGGGAGCCGGCCAGGGCAGCGGGCCAGGGGCACTGGGTGGGGTTACGGGGCTCAGCTGGCCTCGCCCCGTCGCCTCTGTCAAGTGGAGGAGCGCTGGTCCTGGAGGCTGCTCGTGGGGCGGCTCCTCCTGGCCAGGCCCTGTTCTCTCCGGCGTCAGCGGAGCACCCGGGGAGGTGGGGGAGAAGGGCGGTGAACACAGGAACCCATAAACGCGTGACTGAGTCATGGGAATCGCTGGGAAGAGTGAGGCGGGGAAGGCATCCGAGGGGCGGGCGGTGCCGCCTTGGCAGTGCTGGCGGCTGGCAGCTACAGGACCTCGGGCAAAGCAGCGCTGTCTGCGGCGGGGGGTCTGAGGACAGGATTCACGCCTCAACAAGAGCCCCCTGGGGCCTCCAGCTGAGGAACTGGGGACCCCGCAGCTCCGCTGGCGGTCCTGGGCCCACCTGACCCCCCAAAAGCTTCTCTTCCGAGTCTCGCTGTGGTCTGTCAGCCCCATGGCCAGCGTGGGCACAGTGACCGCGCTCTGCTCTCCTCCCCGGGGTGGGGGTTGCACTCTCGGGCCTCCCCCAAGGGCGGAAAGAGAGCCGCTCGTGGACTTGACGCAGACGGCCGGAGGTGTTTGCTTCTGTTCAGCTGCTCGGCTGCTCAGTCGCGTCCAGCTCTTGCAGCCCCACGGCCTTCAGCCAGCAAGGCTTCCCTGTCCAGAGGGGCTCGGGCCACGGGCTTTACTGTGAAACACGCACGGGTGTAGCCCAGGGGAAGGGACGCTCCCCTCTTGTTAAAAGTGAGAACACCTGTGCCCAGGATCCTCCATTCTCCACAGGGAGGCCCTCGTCACTATGGCCTGACGCCCCCAGCCACCCCGTGATGGGAGATTTTGTGCTTGTCACCCAAAACAGCAGTTTGGGGTCTTCAGCAAAGTATTTCAGCCATAGACGCCCCAGCATCTGAGACAGCGCAGAGGCCGACAACGAGCTTTTGAAGGCCTCCAGGCTCCACATGAGGCCACTGGTCAATGGTCGCAAACCCAGGCCCGGGGCCACAGTGGAGGGCGCTTGTGCGTGACGGAAACTCGGTGTTACAACCTGGGTCTGCTCTGAGATCTGTTGACGGCCCCCCAGGGGTGACCTGGAGCTCCTCCTGGCAAGCCAGAGGCTGGCCACGCCATTGCCCTGCCAGGCTGGCCCCCCGCTTGAGTTGACCACAGTCGCTCCGGGCACCTGGAGCGGGAGATAAGCCGCTGGCCCTGGCTCCCACTGTCCGGCCCCGGCCCGCCCAGAGACTGGCCTCCTGCCTGCCCAGCTGTCCTCAGACCACCCCTCCCCCCAGGCCTGGGTCTCCCCACAGTCGCCGGAGGGGACCCGAAGGGGCAGGCTACCCGTCCGGTCACCGTGCGCTGTTCAAGGGTCCCTTTGTGCGGTGAACGGGCTGGCACCCGCCGTCACGGTCTGGGCTCAGGGGCGGTGCCAGCGGTTGCGGGCGGTGGGGGGAGCCGGACCGGAGGTGGGGGTCTGCGGGGCACCACGGCCCAGGTCACCCGCTGCGAAGGTGAGGGGGCTGGGGGCGGGCGCAGCGCCAGCGGCTGGCGGCGGGGGGGCGGCGCCTGGGCAGGGGCACCGATCGGGGCCGGAGGGGCGGGGCGGGGCGGGGCGGGGCGGGGACCATCGCGGGCGGGGCGCACCTCGCCGCTCCCTCGCGCGTCGCGCTCACCCGCCCGGGCGCCCCGCCCCTCCGCCCTCGCAATAAGGGGCGCGGGCCGGGCGGGGCGAGCGGGAGGAGGGCCCGCCGCCGCCGCCAGCCCGCGGCCGGAGCCCAGGCAGGCAGCCCGCGGCCCGCGCCGTCGGGGCTCCGGGCGCGGCTATGGAGCTGTGGCCGTGGCTGACCGCGGCGCTGCTGCTGCTGCTGCTGCTGGCGCAGCTGAGCCGCTCGGCCCGGTTCTACGCCAAGATCGGCCTGTACTGCGCCTTCTGCTTCACGGCCTCGGCGATGGCCGCGGTCGTCTGCCTGCTGCGCCACGGGGGCCGGACGGTGGAGAACATGAGGCAAGGGGGGCCGGGCGGGCGCGGGGGGACCGCTTCCGCTTCCTTAACTTTCCCGTGTCCTTTCCCTCCTTCCTGCCGCGCCTGCCTCTCCCGGGCTCCGGGAGTGGTGGGGGGAGCTCTCGGACGCCCGAGGGGAGAGCGGGTCGGGGAGCGCGCCGGGGGGTGGTGGTGGGTGGGCTGCGGCCTCCGGAGCCGGCGTCATCGTGTCCCCGCGCCCTTGCCCCGGGGCTCCGGCCACGGGCCGGCACGGAGGGCTTTACAGAGGTCTGGCCCTCGGCGCCGCGCAGGGTGCCGGCGGCTCCGGGAGGAATGCGGCCGGGCCGGGCGGGCTGAGGCTCGGTGCCACTTCCCCGTGGCGGGGGTGGGGGCTAGCCGCCACGCACCGCCGCGCCAGGGTCTCAGTCCCCTCCCCGCCACCCCGCCCGCCCACCTGTCGGGCGATGAGCGCACGTGTGCTCAGCCCCTTCCTTCCGCTTAGGAAGGTGTGGTGGCTCCAGCCCGGGGAGGTGGGGCGGGGACTGCTGGCCCTTGGGGTCCAGCGTTAAGCCAGGGGAAAGAACGCGGTGGTGGCTAGGGGGTCCCCCCATCCCTGGGGGTGGGGAGCTTGCTGTGGTGGGGGTCAGGCTTGGCTGACAGGAAGAGTTGGAGACCTCTCCCGGGCAGAGGTGGGGGCTGGGGGCGGTGGTGCCCGAGAGGGGCTCCGCGGCCCTTGCCCCCGGATTCCGATGAGGAGGGGCCGCTGCTAACATGCCGCCCTGTGGCTTTGGCAGTGATGACCTTTTGGCTGTGGCCTGGGGTGGGAATACTGTGGTCCCCAGGGCCCCCACCACCCCGGCGCTCACAGGGCAGGGGGTGAGGGGTCCTGGCTTTCTGCCCTTCTTGCCTTGTCCATCCGGGCGGGCTGACGCTGCCAGGACTGACGTCCTCTGTACAGTTCTTCCCGGCTGTTTTCAGGGATATGTGGCTCCTGCCGCCCCAGAAGTGGGTGTGAGGACTAAGAGTGGGGAAGCCTGGTGGGTGGGCGATGAGTCTCTAGTGCCCCCTCCCTACGTGGCCCAGGGCAACGACCCAGGGAGCAGAGATCACAGGGGTGGCCCACTTGTTGCCTTTCCAGCTGTCTTCCCAAGCAGTCAGCTCTCTCGGATGGGGAGGGCCTGTATCTAGAAATAGGGGGTTCCTCAGAGCTGGGCCCTGCTGGCAGGGATGCTGGCCTAAGTTTGAGGCCCTGGGACCCCCCTGCAGACAGTGGGCTCACAGCCCGTGTCCGTTCCGCACCTGCTGGGGGCCAGCCAGGAGCAGGGCAGGGGGTGGTTTCCGGCAGCAAAGGCTGGTGGGCTCCTTGGAGGGGCAGCTGCCCCCCCACAGCCAGGACCGAGGGTGGCGCGTCTGTTTCTGAGGCAGGAGGGGCCCTGAGCCTGGCTTGTGTTGCGTGCGGGTGGGACGCGAGTCCTGGAGCAGGTTTTCAGCAGGCGTTCCCAGCGGTCACCCTTTCTCTCCCTGGCTCTGTGTTGCCAGGTGGCCTTGTCTTTAAAAGGTCCAACTCGCTCTTCCAGGCCTGAGCTTGAAAGCTGCTTCCCCGGGGTCAGACTGGAAGTCATAGCCACCCTTTCTGACCAGGTGGTGGATCTGGCAGGCCGGCCTGACCAGCACGCAGCACCCCAGGCCTGGCCGGCCCCATGGCCTCTGCTCTCTCGGGCTTGTTCCCCGAGCCCAGGAGCCCAGCTTGGCCCCCAGCCTCGCAGGAGATTCAGGCCCGCCAGGGCGTCCTCCCGAGGTGCTCAGGAGGGAGCCTCCCTCCCCGGGACGGTCCCCAGCTCAGGCTCTGCAGAGGCCAACCCAGGATCTAATGGAGGTGCCGCGTCCTCCCCAGAGAGAGGCAGGCCTGGCGGTCTGAAAACCCACAGCCTGCTTCCCCTGCAGCCCCGGGTCCCACAGGGTGGGTCATTGGGAGGACACCCACGGCTCCCCAGTGACGGCAGAGAGGAGGGTCCCTTGTGAACACGAGTTCTCCAAGGGACGCGGCCGTGGAGGGCTGAGAAATGCAGAGGTCGTGGAGGCGCTGTGTCCCTCCAGGCGCTGTGTCCCTCCAGGGACAGGCCCACGAGGACAGGTGAGGTTGGGGGGCCATGTGGACAGGATACCTCATTTCAGGCCCCTCCTGGGCTGGGACTGCGTGGGCGCCTGGCTGCCCCCCGCCCCCACTCCAGTTTAACCCTGACTTCCGGAAAGGACCCTGCCCATCGATTTTGCCTGGCACCCCCCCGTGCACTGGCGGATGCTTCATCCTTAGGGAGAGGGGTTGTTCCTAGTCCCATTTTACAGATGAGTCTGCAGAGAAGCAGCTTGAAACTCATGTTTCCGGGGGATGGGGGGGGTGGGTGGGGAGGCAACTGGCAGGCCCTAGGGCTAGGACACGGCAGACCTGGGCTGCAGACCCTGAGGGTGACTTCAAGGTGGGTCTTTTTCATCTTTCCTCTGTCTCACCCAGCATCGGGGCTGGGGGCAGCACCTTGACCGCTTTGGGGCTGGAGACCAGGCTCAGGGGAAGTCCTCAGTCCCAGGAGGGACAGCCCAGCTCCACCCACCCCCTCGCTTTCCCGTCTTCCCTGTAACCAGCAGCCCTTCTCTGTGATGGGGCAGCCAAGGAGGCCTTTGCCGTTGAGTTGTGAATTTTGAGCGTGCTGGGCAGCGCTGGGCGCGGAGGACCAGAGGCAGGCTCTGTGGCAAGCACGCTGGGGCCGAGGCCAGGGACCCTCTCCCAGACTGGCTGCCAGGGGAGGCTGGGTCCTCACCCTGGGGGCAGGTGCCCTTATCATACCCGCTGGGCAGAGAGCCAGGCCCGGGATTAGCCGTATTAGAACTGGCTTTGACTGTAGGACCAGGAAACCAGATAACAGCACCTTAACACAGAGTTTCCTTTCTCACACGTCCAGGTGACCAGGACGGGCAGCTGGGACCACAGCTAGGCTGCAGAGTAGGGGGCAGGAGAGTGAGGCTCTGGGTCGGTGGGGCCCCCACACATTGAGGATGGGCATGGCTGCAGCCAGGGCCTGGGGCCCTGGTCTTGGGGTGGGATGGTGGGGGCAGCCCTCCCCCTGGGTGGACTGCAGGCCCGGAAGCAGCGCTCCCGAGATCTGGACACTGCTCGGGTCCCACCCTTCCAGGCCTCTGGCCCCCACCCCACTCCTGAGCCCCTTTAGCGCCTCTGGGCACCCGCAGAGGCTGGCGCCCCCAGCTCCTGCCCACCCTGTGTTCCGGCTCATCTGACGCTTGGGAAAGGCCACTGCCTGCCAGGCGGCCTCGCTGGGGCCTCTGGTCCCCTGAGCAGACCGATGGCTCTGTGTGCCCGCCCTCCTGGCAGGGCCTTCCCGAGTGAGTGCCACCAACCACCCGCCTCCACCCCTGCCACGTTGTAGGGCAAAGCCCATGGGGTCTGGCTGAGGGCTTGACTCCGCTTGGCCGAAGTAGCGACCAGGTCTCCCCAGGGCTACCTAGCCTGAGCCGGGCTGAGGGCAGAGGTCAGCAGGTAGCTGAGACCTGACATTGCACCACCTCCCAGCGGCCAGGAGCAGGTACTGGCTGGGGGACGGGCTTCGTCCGTTTACTTTGGATTCTTTTCTGCCTGTGATGTCGCCAACAGACACTGTTGTGTGACCTCCACTGTCTGTGGAGGGCTCCCCAGCCCGGCAGGTGTCTCGGGCGTTGGAGCCTCATCTGACTCGACCCTTCCGTGACCTTCCGGTCCCACGAGTGGAAGCAAGAAACGTAGGGAGGTCAAGTCCGTTGCCCAAGGTCACAGCCCTGAGAGGAGCGTCAGGGCCTGTCCGACCCAGAGCTGGGGCGGGGTCCGGGTGTCCCCAGATGAGTGCAGCTGATCCATGGAGGCTGGCTGCCAGGGCTTCGGCCCCAGGCCCCCGAGGATCCACACGTTTATGGCGCTTCCTTTGAGGCCAGCGGCCCAGATCAGGGTTAAGTGGAGGGCTCCTGAGAAAGACCCACGAGGGGTGAGGATAGCGCCTTTGCTACGGAGACTCTGCCCCTGTGGGCTCTGCCTTGCGGGGAGAGCTGGCACCAGTCACCCACAGTTGCCTGCAAGTGCTTCTGGAAGGCTGGGCCACCCAGCTTCAGGCAGCCTTGGCTCCGCCTCCCGGGAAAGGCAGGGCTGAAGTTGGGGCTGCAGGGCGTGGGTGCCAACATCCCTGGCCACACCTGTGACTCCAGCTGTGAAGCTGGGGCCCTGCTTCCTGTGGGGAGGGGCACTGGGGTCAGCTGGGCTCCGAAGAGGCCTGGGCTGGGCCGGCCTGGCTGCCTGGGGAGGGCGGCTGCTCAGAGCTTCCTGCTGGGAGAGAAGTGCAGAGCCCCTCCTGCTGGGGGTGGGGTGGGGGCCAGAGAGCGCCCTCAGGGCGTGAGGGGTGGCCTGCTGAGGAGCTCAAACACTCCACCTGGCAGCCCTGGAGCCATCGCCCCGCCTCCAGGTGGGCCTGTGCCTGGCATTTTCCATGCATTTTTCCAAAGTCAGATTTAGGTGCGGGCTCCAGCCCATCCCGGCTTCCCCGCTGTGTGATTCTGGGCCAGTCGCTCAGCTTTGCTGAGCCTCCACTTCCCTGGTGCAGGAGTATATGACCTTGTGGGGTTACTGTCTGAGCGAAACTGGACAGTTGGCGTCTGTCCCCGGGCAGGCTTTGCAGGTAGCGTGGCGCTGCTGCTCCCGGGCGTGGGTGTGGGGCGTCCGTTCCTGTGGTTATGAGCGAGCTGCACTCGAGGCCAGGACAGACCGGCTCTCCCTGCTGGGGCCCTGGAGCCTCTGCACGGCTTGGGCAGCCTCCCTCCTGGAGGAAGCACTGTGAGAATGGTAGGGTGTCCCCACCCCTTTTTCAGAAAACCTTGACGAGACGGGACAGTAGGAGGAGAAAGAGCGAGACTCCGGGCGCCCACCCCCCTGCAGGGAGTGACTGACGGACCCCTTCCTGTGAGGAGCACCGCCCGCTCTGTCTGCTCCCGAGATGCCCCTTTCTTTTTCGGCTTCCTGTACTTGTCTTCTGTGCTTATGTCAGTGGCTGTGTCCTTTCGTTTTGAGTGCCCTTATTTGTAAAATGTAGCGAGTTGCCCCCGGGGCCTGTCTGTCCCTTCTGGAACCCTTTGGTCCTTGGGAGGTCTGCCTCAACTGGGATGGGAGAGGCCCCTGCTAGGCTGAGTATCACAGGATACTGAGATCACAGTATATACAGTATCTTTCATCCTCCCCCACCCCCAAATACGGATCCTGTCAATTAGATACAAAAAGAAAATACAGAGAAGTTCTGGAGAGGGATGTTTGGGAGGACTGCATTATACACTTGTAAATGGTTTAAAATGATAGATTTTATGTTATGTATATTTCACCACAATTTGTTTCCTTTTGGCTGAGTCAGGTAGCATGCGGGATCTTAGTTCCCCAATCAGGGAATAAAGCAGGGATCAAACCCGGGCCTCCCTGCATTGGAAGGGTGGACTCTTAACCACTGGACCAGCAAGGAAGTCCTTCATCACAGCTCTTTAAGAAGAAGAATGGAGCCAGTAGATACCAGTGCCAGAGAGATCCACTGTCCTTTCCCGACGTGGCCTGGGACTTTGTGAGCTTGGCAGGGAAATGCAAGCGACAGGTTTGCATTAGAGGTCCCGGGAACCGTCCTGGCAGCAAATAAATAGGGATCTTTGCTCTTTCCTCTGCCACAGCCCTATCTGTCTCAGCTGTCCCCACGGGGACGCTGAGGTGTACTTTCCCTAATCCTGACCTCTCCTGTGCGTTGGCGGCTTTAGGATCAGTTGCCGGAAGAGGATTGCAGATCTCAGGGACTAGGCTTCTTAAAGGCTCTGCTAGGTGCTGCCAGCCTGCCCTCCTCCGGAAGCCTCTGCGGGCTCCCACCTCTGCCGGTAGCCTTGGGCCGTCTCCCAACACCTGCCGGCACCTCCCGTTATCTGGCTGTCCTCTGCCGATCTGAAGGATGGGGACAGGGCTTCTCGTTTCTATCCGCATTTCCTTTGATGGCCAGTGGGACTGCATGCTTCTGTGTTGTTGGACGACGCACGTTTTTCCCGTTTGTGAATGGCCTGCTTGCGCCCTCTCCTTGGGTCGGTGAAGCCTCACAATGACCCGAGAAGCCGTCTCTTGGCAGTCGGGGACCCCGAGGCTCCCCAGCTGAGATGGCCAGGCGAGGTCTCCCGAGAGGGTCCAGGCCAGGGGCACCTCTGAGCCGGGTGGGGACAGAGGGACAGGTCTGGCTCGAGCTGGCAGAGGCTCAGCACTAAGGAGGACGGCCCAGCTTCCGGGTCCAGCAAAACCGGCTGGCCCGACTGTGAGAGCAGCCGGGGCTCAGCTGCCTCCCTCGCGGAGCCCCTCTCTCCCACCTGCGCCGTGGGAGGAGGAGGGGAGAGAGGCTGTGTGGGCCAGATGCGAGCCTGCCTTTCAGACAGAGGCAGAGCTGATCGGATCCACTCGTGTGAGGCTCAGAGGAGTCTTAGCCACAGAGACTGAAAGTAGATGCTGGGGCCCGGGGCGGGCAGTGCGTGTGTAATGGCAACAGCGTGTCTGTCAATTTGAGAAGATGAAAGTCCTGGGGACGGAGGGTGGGGGCAGTTGCACAACAACGTGACTGCACTTGAACTGCATGTTTCAGACCCGTTCGCTCAGAGGGTAGACGTTGTGCCGCATGTATTTTAACCACACTTTTAAAGACTTGAGTCTGCCTTCAGGCCAAGGGCCCAGCTCTGAGCCTCTGCTCTATTGAGAACCAGCTCTGGGCCCAGGCCATTCTGGCTGGAGTGGAAAAGACCTGCCTCCCGGTCAGGACTGTGAGGATCTCCCTGGCGGCAGGGGGTAGGGGTGGGGGTGGGGGTGTGTGCAGGAATCCTGGGCAGGACGTGGAAAGCTCTTGGGTCACCGGCAGCCCACCCTCAGCCCCCCACCACCACGGGTGGGAAGGACCCAGGGGCCCTGCCGGAGCGGCAGAGGAGTAACCGCAAGCCTCGGGCTCCGTCCCCCCCGTGTGCTCTGACCCCTCACTGGCACCAATCCCGTGCCAAGTGTATGCGGCGTCAACCTTCTCCCTGCCAGCCAGCTACCCGGAGACGCCGGCCCCAGGGATCACCGTCACCTCATGCAGGGATAGGCCCCTCCGGGTCACACGTGCCCAGGGCAGCCTCCTGCTGGGAGCAGGGCCCACGCACATCCTAGCTCCCCTGGTATCCTTGTGTGACCTTGAGTGTGTGTGTATGTGTGTGTCTGTGTGTGAGTGAAACGGGCACGCTGCTGTTTGCAGGGCAAGGAGGCGTGAAGGCCGTGTCACCTTGATGGTGCCTGCTGGGCCGGTCTCCCCAGCAGCGGCTCTTCCAGGAAGAGCGGCTCCTCGCCGAGGTCTCTGCTTGGTACCCATGGTTCCTTCCCTTGGGTGTGGCTCTGCCTTGAGGGATGGTCATGTCCCATGTCCCATGGGGGGCCCCCTGCCCCGGCCGCCTCTACAGGCGGCCTCTCCACATTGGGTCCTTCGGGCTCTGATGCGACTGAGCACAGAGTTAGCCAGCCCGGGGGGTTCTCAGTCTGCACCCCCATTCAGCCAGGCCCCCTGCCTGGCGTGAAAAGCAGGACTTGGGGGGTGGAGGCCGGATGACAGGGGCAGATCCGGGTACATGGACGTGGAAGGAGGCATCCTTCCCATGGCCTGGTGTTGGGGTCCCCGAGGCCTTGCTTCTGTGTGATCTTCATGTCACTGGCTGGGAGGCCAGGGGGCTGGAGGGCAGGGGGAGCCATCCTGCTAAGGGACAAGACCTTAAGGCTCTCGGAGGGGGAGGCGGGCTCAGGGTCAGTGGCCAGCCTGCCAGGGTGGGCTGGGGGTCTCCAGGCTGCGGACGCAGAGCCCAAGTCACGCCGGGGCAGCGGCCCTCTCTCACGGGGCCCATCTCCCCGGCAGCATCATCAGTTCATTTGTCCGGTCCTTCAAGTACGCATACGGCCTCCGGTTCGAGGTCAAAGGCCGTGAGACACTGGATGAGGACCGCCCCTGCGTCATCATCTCCAACCACCAGAGCATCCTGGACATGATGGGTAAGGCCGGGCCGCGGTGGGGTGGGGGTCTGGGGGAGGGCTGACCCTTCCCAGTTGCCTGGGGGTAGGGGGAGGCTGCTCTCCTACTCGGCGGCTGGACCCAGCTGAGCTGGCAGGCGGGGGTTTGACACTGGACGGGGCGGGGACCTGCGCCTCCCTGCAGTGGGTAACGGGACCAGGCAGCCTGTGCAGGGGCCCCGGGCTCTGCTGCGGGAGCCCTGCTTCAGTGCCTCCCCTGCTGGGAAGCCGAGGCTCAGAGGCCAGACGGCGCCCAGTGCCAGTGATGTCCGAGGCCCAGGGCTGGCCCGCCTCTCCTTGGGGAGTGGTCCCTGAGCTGTGCTCTGTCTCCTCTTGTCCCTGCCTGGCGTCCGGTGCCCGCAGGCCTCATGGAGGTCCTCCCCGACCGCTGTGTGCAGATCGCCAAGCGGGAGCTTCTCTTCCTGGGGCCCGTGGGCCTGATCATGTACCTGGGGGGCGTCCTCTTCATCAACCGGCAGCGCTCCCAGACGGCCATGAGCGTGATCACCGACGTGGGCGAGCGCATGGTCAGGGAGAAGGTGAGTGCCCAGGGCTGGGGCGCCCGGCGCTGTGGACACTTATGGCTGATCGTGGTGTCAGGACGGCCCCGAGGGTGAGTCCCTGCGGCAGAAGAACCCGCCTCGTCGGTGCGTGGCTGAGAATCGCGTACAGAAGAGCCAGGCACGGGGCCTCGGCTGTCAGCAGTGGCAGTCTCTGCTGAGAAGTGGGGCTCCCCGGGGGTGGGTGCCTCCCTGGGCGGCCGCCAGCTCTTGGGTGCAGCCTCCTGTCTCCCCGACAGCTCAAAGTGTGGATCTACCCGGAGGGCACGCGGAATGACAACGGGGACCTCCTGCCTTTCAAGAAAGGTGCCTTCTACCTGGCGATCCAGGCCCAGGTGCGTTGGGGCTGCGGCCTCCCCGGGCGGCCGGGGCGGGAAGCACATCCAGGCTGGCCTACGGCTGGCGGTGACCTCCCGGCTGGCTGGGGCCACCGGCGCTCGGCGACCCCCTGCCTCTGGACAGGCAGCACCTGTCCGTGAGCGGCCATGGAGGGCAGTCCCTGGGGCCCCTTAGCTGCTCTGGGCGTGAAGGCTGGGGCCAGCTGGAATGATGCTTATCACCTCTGTACCTGCCCACGGAGCTCCAGCACCCCGCCTTCCCGCTGGCCGGGCATGAAGAAGGCCCGCTGCCTGGGGCCTCGGCAGGGCTCTGCCAAGGTCGCGTTCAGTCCCCCCGCACCCCTTGCCGGGGCGTGGTCTGGGACTTGGCAGTGGCTGTGGGGAAGGGGGGTGTGCGCCAGGGCTCACGTGGGGCAGGACAGAGCGAGCGGAGAGCCCTGCACGGGGCTGCGCGCTGCTCCCGTCCTTGGCTTCAAGGGGCACAGTTTGCCCCAGGCGTCCCGGAGACCTGGGGGCTGTGGCGGGAGAGGCTGGGGGCGTGTCCCTCCGTGGGGCGGGGCTCCCGGGGGTTCGGGTGCCCTGTCTCAGCCTCTGGTCCTGTGCTGGGGGCTGTGGGAAGGGAAAGTCACCGGCAGGGCAGGGGGGCCTTTCTTCCTGCCTGGGCAGGGTCAGGATGGCAGCTGGGCAGGGCTCTGCTTTCTCCTGGCCCTCACCTGGGACAGGTGGCCTCGAGCACCCCCTGGTGGCCCTGAGCAAGGCTGGGAGAGCCTTTCTTCCAGAAGCTCCCAGCCAGCGCCGGGGAGGGGAGTAGGGGAGCTGGAGGGAGGGGTGGACGGCCGCCCACAGTGGGGACAGGCGCCTGGGCTCTGATCCCCGCCCTGCCTGAGCACTTGGTGGAGGAGACCCCCGCCACAGGCTGGGGGCTGGCATCTCTTCCCTCTGCGGTGGAAAAGGGGTCACCGGGGTCATGGGAGAGAAGAGCGGAGCTTTGGGGGCGGTGGGGTCAGGGCAGTCTCAGCCAGGACGCTAGGCAGCATATTTCCTGTCAGTTCCCCGCCCTGGGGTTAATGATTACTCCCGGGTGCTATTTCTGACACTGGAACCACCGTTGAAGTCCTCATTGGACTTGACCCTGGTGTCTTCTGGGAAAACCGGCAGGCCCTGCCCCCTCCCCTGGCTGGATTTGCCCCCAGCTCCTCCCTGGGGTCAGGGGAGAGGCTGGGAAGGAAGAGATGGGCAGAAAGACCTCAGTTACCTCCTCCGGCTAAACTGGACAGGGCCCTGGGTCATCTTGAGACCCTTGGGGGATGCGGAATGTGAATCAAATGGATGTGTGGCCACCCAGGGCACGAAGGGTGTCCCGGGGACAGTGTGTGGAGGCACCCTGAGGCAGGGTGGCCACAGGGGCCATGGGGGCAGGCAGGGCTCTGCCCTCGAGCTCGTCCCTGGGGCTCAGCTCCGCGGCCTGGCTGGGCTGCGTCCTCAGGCTGCCGCGTCTGCCGTCCCCAGGTACCCATCATCCCCGTGGTTTACTCCAGCTTTTCCTCCTTCTACAGCTGTAAGACGAAGCTCTTCACTTCAGGTAGCCCCCCGCCCCCATACACACACACCCTTGTGCACACGCAGGCCCGCCCACCTGATCTCCCATGACACCCGCTTCTGGGGGGGCCACTCCAGGCCGTGCCCCTCAGCGACTGGGGGCAGAAGGAAGGAGGCCCCGCCTTGAGCCCCGAGGCCGTGGCTCCTGGGGGTGGGCAGAGGCCCAGCTGTGCCCACAGCTCGGGGGCCCTTGAGGGGCGCGCTTCCTGTGCCCAGGGTGGGCTCCGAACCAGTGCATCCAGCCCCGACTCTCAGGCAGCAGCCACCGGGGACGCCCCCCACGCCCCCCGCCACGGAGCTCAGGACCTCCCTCTGTCCTTCCCTCCAGACCCCCACACGAGGGTGCCTGGCGCCCAGGTGGGAAGTGGGGTCCAAGGGAGAAGCTGCCTGCCCCACACCCTGGACCCCGAGGCCGCCTGCACCCCTGTGGATCACAGGAGGGGGCTGCCCCGTAGCTTCCCGGGGGAGGGAACGTTCTGGAGCCTGAGCAGTCCTCACGAGGGGGCGCACACTCGTCCATGCCCGCTGTGAACCTGCCTGAGAGCACGTGTGTGCCCACGTCAGTGATTCACAATTAAGAGCCAACTGCCGGAGACCGGGGTGTCGGGAAGAGCCCGGCCCAGCCCAGGCCCTCGGGAGGCTGGCAGACGGCCAAGACGGGGGGGAGAGAGGCCCCCCGTGGGAGCCCGCAGGCGGCTGATGCCCCCACCCCGCCCCCACAGGAACCATCCAGGTGGAGGTGCTGGACGCCATCCCCACACGTGGTCTCACTGTCGCCGATGTCCCCAAGCTTCTGGACACCTGCCACCAGGCCATGAGGACACGCTTTTTCCACATATCCAAGATCCCCCCGAAGAACGGGGCCCCCTCAGGGCCAACCGCCCAGGAGAACGGGGCCCCCTCGGGGCCCGACGCCCAGGAAGCCCAGTAATCAAGGCCCGGGGCTGGGCAGGACCTGGCTGGATGATGGACAGAGGGACACCCCCCCGCCCACCAGACACCACTGTGTCCCTTCTAGCCATCCCCCGCCAGAAGCGGGGCATCTCTTCCTGTCACTGCCTTGGGTCCAGGCCCCCCGATGTCCCTGCAAGGGGGAGTCAGCCCAAGCTCTGAGGGCAGGGCCTCGCCCACCCCCATGCCTCTGGGGTCTGGCGTGGGAGCGGGTCTGGACCCCCATGGGCTGACAGGGCAGGGCCGAGCTGCCCGGCCCCCACCCTCCGCCCAGGCCTGTGGGGCACAGAGGCCGGCCTGCATCAGGCCCTCAGGGAGAGGTGGGGCTCTGGGGGGCCTGGACATCGGGGCTCAGGCCACCAGCTGGCTCACTCCAGCTGGGCCTCAGGGAGCCAGAGAGCAGGGTCTGCGGCTCCCGCCGACTCTGGGGAGCGAGTCTGCTGAATTGGGACTGTGCTGTCACTGTTTTTTATAAAACTCTGGGAAGTGCCTGCTGAATCCTGCTCACTCAGAGGGTGGGCGGGGCTGCCTCGGTTCCCATCCTCAAGCTGCCCTCGCCTCCCCCTCCCTCTGACGACTGTGGGAACCCCCCAGCCATCACCCTGGGCAGTGTTCCTGCCGGGGTTGGGGCCACAGTCATCCTGGAATGTTTTCTTCCACTGGGGGTGGCAGGCATGCCCAGGGGTTGGGCAGGCACTTGGAAAGGAAGCTAAAGATTTGCTCTTTGGCTGCTGGCTGGGGGTGAGGCCAGCTGGTCACCGGGGGAGGCCAGTGTCACCTTCACTGAAACCACCTTCTCCAGCCCCTATTGGAGTGAAAGTGAAAGTCACTCAGTCATGTTGACTCTTTGCAACCCAATGGACTATACAGACCATGGAGTTCTCCAGTCTAGGATACTGGAGCGGGGTAGCTGTTCCCTTCTCCAGGGGATCTTCCCAGCCCAGGGATCGAACCCAGGTCTCCCGCACTGCAGGCAGATTCTTTACCAGCTGAGCCACAAACTGGAGAGACAGCGCCAAGACCCTGTCTCGGGGGGCCGGGGGTGGGGGAGGGCTGTCTGCCTCTCTCCCAGCGCGTGGCTATTGGCCTGGGGGAGGCCCGTCAGCTTCAGGACGCTCCCGAGATGCCTTCATGGACACAATGGCTCAAGTCTCATTTTATTCTCACAAAGGACAGGGCTGCCCAGCGAGGGGCGCAGGACCCAGGCCCTGGGCAGGGCGCCTCGTACCGTCCTCGGCCGTGGGCCCACAGGCCCCAAGAGTCGGCCGGGGTGCAGGGGGCTGGCTGGCTGGGGCTGGATTCACACAGGACGACCTTCACCCCGCCTTGCCCTGGGGGAGGGGGGCAGTGGGCCCTGGGGCCTCCGTGGTCAGCAGAGGTGGGGCGGGGTGAGGAGAGTCTCTCCGGGGGCAGGTGGGCCTGTCACACCTCCTTCTTGCAAGAACCTGTGGGGGGATGGGGGATGTGGGGGGGGGATGGGGTCAGAGGTGACTGTTTCTCAGCACCTTCCGGCCCAACCAGACCTGCCCGCTCAGCCCATGGTGGCCCTGCCCTACACCCTCTGGCCTCTGGGTGGGAGCAGGGTCCTAGGCTGTGTGTGTGTGTTGGGGCAGGTCGCGGGGCCCACAGCACTCACAGGAGCCCAGCTGCTCTTCCAGGAAGGAGATCTGCTCGCTCAGAGAGTCGATGCGGTCCAGCTGCTGGAGGGAGTGGGCCAGGAGGCTGCCCGGGTCAGGGAGCCCGCGCTCCAGGGCGCGCGAGGCCAGGCCGTGCAGTGGGGCCAGCACGCGCTGCAGCTTCTGTGGGGTTGGCAAGGCCCCGGGGAGCCGGGGGGGACCTGCGTGACCCTGGGCCAGCCCCTCGCCCTGTCCCTTCCGTAAGGATTTAAGGACGGCAGGGTGGCCGTAAGGCACCGCCGGCCCTGAGACCCAGGCCCAGCTGCAGGGCCCCGCAGTGTCCACCAGAGGGGGCTGCTACGCCGGGACCACGGGTGACTCACAGGCCCACCCCGCCAAGGGTCCCCGAGGCCTGGGACCCCCAGTCAGAAGGGCTGAGGGAGGGGAGACCGGGGCCTCTGAGAGGGTCTCAGGTCAAGAACCCTGTGGGGAGGCCTCAGGGCACTCTGTCCCTGAGAGACAAAGGCAGTGGAGGGACTGGACCGAGGGTCTGGCTCGTCTCCGCGGGGTCCCAGACATCGTCCACGGGGCCTGGTGCCCAGACCACTCCCAGGCTGAGGCCCCCCCGCCCACCCCGGGGAACCCAGCCCGGGTCTCACAAAGCCCTACTCCCAGGCTGAGGCCCCCCTGCCCACCCCGGGGAACCCAGCCCGGGCCTCACAGAGCCCTACTCCCAGGCTGAGGCCCCCCCCGCCCACCCCGGGGAACCCAGCCCGGGCCTCACCTGCTCCAGCACATCCACCCTTGACTGGAGCCTCTGTACTTCCTCCTTCACCTCACTGTCTGCTCCTGGGGAGGGCAGCTGCGGAGTCAGGCAGGCCCGGCTCCCCGCCCCGCGCCCCCACCCTGGGCCAGCCTCACAGCCCGATGCGGGTCGGGGGGAGCCTCCCGGCATGGGCCCCGGCCCTCGGGACCAAGTTCCAGCCCTGGCTGCTGCCCTGCTGAGTCCTGCCCCAACCCCGCTCCGGGCCCTGCCTTCCTCCAGGGCCACGAGGTGGCCCTGGGACTCATGCCTGCCCGCCTGGGGGCCAGGGTCCCTGATGCTACCGCCATGCTCAGGGTGGTCTGGGCCGACGTCCACGCGCGCTCCGTGCCGGGCTGCTGACGGCGCATTATTACTCACGGTACGAGTTTGAAGTGTCACAGCGCGTACCAAAAGTAATAATGTCCCGTCACCAGCAGAGATGCTGTGTCTCTGGCTGCTCAGTGAAAGGACCCTGGGCAGCGGCGGCTGAGCTAAGGCCCCCCCCACCCCTGTCCCCATGGGAAGCGACCATGCAGGCTGCCTCCAGGACCCCCCATCACCACCACCCCCCAATCACCTCCAGGACTCCCCATCACCTCCAGGACCTCTCCATCACCACCACCCCCCGGGCCCGCCATGCTCACCCCCAGGCACAGCGGCAGGAGTGGCATCTAGGCGGCACCTTACCTGTCGCAGGGCCTGGGGTCACCCTGGGGGCCCCTCTCTCAGGCAGGCAGACTGCCCCGTCCACAGATGGCCAGTGGCCCTCCCGACACCGGCACCAGTAACTGCCCGCCGTGTTTACACAGTGCTGGGGACAGCCGCCCCCTCCGGCGCGGCACTCGTCCACATCTGCGGGAAGGGGGGTGTCAGGCACGAGCACCCACCCTGAGCCCCCTCAAGACCCCCCCTCGGAGCTGCCAGGACCCTTGGGGGTGGCCGGGTGCCTGCCTCACCTGTCTGGCAGGCGTCGCCCCGCCATCCTGCAGGGCAGTGACAGCGGCCAGGCTGGACACAGCTCCCTCCATTCTGACATGGTGGCTGGCATATTGCTGTGGGGGTGGGGAGGCCTGTCAGCGACCCAGGAGGGTGCCCGGGGCCCCGCCGCAGGGGCGGGGTGCAGCCAGGGGGTGGGTGCCATGCAGGACCCGCTCTTGCCCTGCTGGGCTCCGCTTCCCTGACACGGGGCGCTCCGGGTGCTCACCTGCCCCACAGGCCCCTGGCAGCCCGCCGGTCCGCTTCCAGCCAGGGCAGCAGGCGTAGCGAGGCCGGGCAGGGGCCGGCCCAGGGCGGCGGCGGTAGGCGGTCCTGTAGAGGGTCCTGTGGGGTGGAGGGGTGGTGGCTCAGAAGGGCCTGTGGCCCTCACGGGGCGGCGGTGGGGGGACAGGGGCTCCGTGCTGACACCAGGTCCCCCCACCCCCGGGGCCTGGCTTCCGCACCCCATCACCGCACCCGCCCGCCTTCCGGGCTAGCTCCGGCCCCGTGTGGTTCGGGAGCTGCATGAGCGATCTCCCCCAGCATGGACGAGGTCAGTGGGTGTGCCCCCAGAGGGTCTCTCCCCCTGGGGAGGGCACCTCAGGGTCACCGCCCGAGCCGCCTCCCTGCCCCCAGCTGCTGTGTGGAGTGGGACGCCCAGGCTTGGCGGAGCCCAGCGAAACCTGGGGTAGAGCAGATAGAGGTGGTGCCTCGGGGAGAGTGTCCTATTCTGGAGGGGGGGTGCCTAGGCCTTGAGGGAAAGGAGCTTCCCACCCTGTCCCCGTTCCCCACCAGAGGTCCTTAAGAACCTCACGGGAAATAGAATCTTTCCCAACCACATCACATCCCCAAAGCAAAGAACAAGAGATTCTGCCTCCTGCCCGCCAGCCCATGCTGGTTCAGACTGGGACGTGCTGCGTCTTGCAGGAGGGGAAGGATCTCCATCTGTAACTGTTGGGGGGCTACCAAGGGGAGGGGGTGCCCCCTGGGGCTCAGAGGGCAAGACCAGGAAGAGGCAGGTTTCAGGGAGCCAAGTGGGAAAAATCTCGCAGCCAACGATGCTGGGGGTGGGTGGGAGTGTCCCCAAAGCGGAGGGGAGCAGACAAGGTGGCGGACCCCTCTACAATGAGGGTGGGGGCGCCGACGCACCGGCCACCCCTGGAGTGGCTGGTTCTCGCAGCCACGGCAGTCACTTCGTGAGTCTGGGGCCGCCCAGGTTACACATGACTCCAGCACACACTCGGACCTGGCCTCCGCAAGGCCCTTCACAGCTCGGGACCTCGGTCTCCCTCCGGGGGCCCTTCTGGCCCTAGGGCTCGCGTGTGGTGGGCGGGGGGTGCGGGGGCTCACCGGTAGGTGCTGCAGGCTCGGTGCCCATCGCAGGTGGTGAGGAAGGGCTGGTATACACGCTGCACGAAAGACTCGGACACAGGGCCCTGGGGAGCCCCGACGACACACACCCTGCGTCTGTGGGGGGCGCGGACGGGGCCAGGGCGTCAGCAGGGGCTCCCAGGGCTGGGACCCTCCAGCCCCGGAGCCCAGGGGAGCCGGGGACCCAGGCAGGGGGTTCCCCAACGGCACCTCAGCAGGGCCCGCAGGGAAACGCCAGCCCCCAGGACACTGGGGGCTGCCCCCGGGCTCCTGGCTGCACATCCCGTGGCCCCGAGCCCCGGCTCACCCAGGCCGGTAGACGTGCTCCGTGCCGCCTGCTGCCAGGACCAGGAACCAGAGGGGAAGCAGCTCCTGGGAGCCCCACATGGCCCGAGTTTCCAGGTGGAACGGCCTTCTCCTCGAGGTGGCCTGGAGCACAGGGCGCAGCCATGTGAAGTCCTTCTGCAGGACCGCCCTCGAGCCGGCACCACGGGGGAGACGGTCCCCTCGGCTCGGATGCCTGCCCGGCTCACCCGCTTGTTGGGACCTCTCGCCGCAGCAGGGAAGCCCCCACGGCCAGTGCCAGCTCCCCTCCCCTCCGCCCTCCTGAATAAGGAGGCCGGCCCTCACCAGCCACATACAGCCCACCCTCGGGCCACAGAAGGGCCAGGACATCGGGGTCTGGAAATGGAAGCTGACGCCCTCGCCTGGGGAGAGACGCGCCTGGACCCTGCTGGGCTCGGTCAAGTTCACCGGGGAAGGGGGAGCCGAGGGGGGACCACCCCTCCCTCCCCTGGCTGGGCTTGTGCCCCAAACCCTTGTCTGTACATGGGGCGTCCATGGCAGGCCTGAAACTGACCCCAGCTGGCTTGGCCCTGGCAGCCTTCGGGGACCTCACGTGCCAGGCCTGGGGGCCTGGGGGTGTAGGTGCCCGGGAGGCAGGAGGTCCTCCTTGGGGTGGGGCCGGGGCCTGCCCTTGGGAGGGGTCCTGCCTATGCTGGGGCCTGAACAGCGGCTGCATCAGCCCGGATGGTGGGGGGTTGGAGCAGCACCCGCCTGCCAGTGGAGCCGATCACATCCTGGTCCTGGCGGTGGGTGGGAGCCAGGGAGGCCAGAGAGCAATTTCTGGGGCGAAAGCCGAGCCCAGAACTAAGGTCCCCGCGTGACAAGCCAAGGGGACTGGAGCGGGGCTGCCGTCGCTGTGTGCAGCCACGGGTCTGGGAGCGCTCTGCTCCCCTGCTCCGGGCGCCCCATCTGAGGTCCCCCCAGGGTCCCCGGAAGGAGCCGAGCCTGTGTGTGTGCTGGGGGCGGGCAGCAGCCTCCGGGTACAGTCTCCTCCCTCCCTGGGACCCAGTTTCCTCCGGCTCTGACAGTCAGTCCCATAGACAGGGACCACCACGAGCATCGCCGAGCCCTGTATCCACACTGGGATTCAGCTGGGCGCTTGGTCCAGGCCTTCACCCGCTGCACCACCCGGCCCTAGAGCTGCACAAGGGTCCTTCCTGCGAGCCACCCCCCCCATTCTCTGTGGGGGGCCCGAGAGGGGAGGGCTGGCTGGCCGAGCAGGCAGAGGCTGCAGCTGGCAACTGAGGTGCTGGATCTAGTTTGGGGACGGCAGGGGATGGCTGCTTCCTGGCAGTTTCTGGGCTGGGGTATATCCTGCAGTCAGGCGGCTCAGGGGATGAACTCTGCAGGAGGGCACCCTGTTAGGGACACACTCGGGGGCCTGGCACTCCCGGCAACAATTGAAATGAGGGGGGACAGGTGGCCCTGGGAGTGGGCCCCGGGAAGGCAGAGGCGGGCCGGTGGGCTGGCAGCGCCAGGCAAGGGGCCTCCCAGCTTTGGCAGACCCTGAGGTCACCCACACCTCGTGCACATGTAATTGTCCCCCACAAACACCCACCCAGCACCTCCGTTACCTATGGAAAACTGGTTAGGAAGGAAGTGTTTTTTCAAAGGAGAGACTGGATTTTTGAAAGTCATGCTTTTCTCCTAGCCCGGAGGAAGCGGCTGGCCCTGGCCTCCTGCACTGGGGATCAGCAGTCTGGTTTCCCTTTGCAGTTACAGCCCCACGGGGAGGAGAGGGGAGCCAGGGCAGGCAGGCCGGCAGGGCAGGGGGACCTGCGCTGCCTCCAGGATGACAAGCAATACTGCTCCATCCCCTCTGAGGGTCTGCAGGAGCCTGCCCCCAACCTGCCCTGAGGCGCGGGTGCGGGGGGCGCGCTGCACCGCGCAGCCGCCATCCCCCGGAGACTGAGTCCGCAGAGCACGGGGCCTGACTCGACTGCAGGGCGGTAACCCTGGGTCCCCCATTCCACCGTGAGGGGTGCTCTGGACGTCAGGGCCGGGGGTGGTGGATGCGGAGACGAGAGGTGAGATGCCTCTCTGGGGGTGCGCCCTCTCCACCGCCCACCCCAAGCCTCCCCTTCCCCCCTGCACCGTGGGGAGCGGGAGCAACAGTGAAGTGACCCCCGCCGGCCACCGCAGGGTACAGCTGGCCTTGGTTGCGGGGTCCCGGGCCCGCGAGGCTCTGGGCCAAGCCCTGGGGGAGCCGCAGGGTCCGGATAGGGGGATAAGGGGCCGCGGCGTCCCCCACCCCGCCCAGGGAACCCCCCCACGCCGTGGCCGGGCCCGGGTCACCCGTCACCAGCAGGGGGCGCCCTTTGCCAAGGCCGCTGGGCCCATTCTCCAGACCCGGGGGCCGGGCTGGGGGTCGGTGCCCGCGGGGCAGAGCCCGGCGCTCTGGGCCCGCTCACCTCCGGGCTCCCTGCGGTCGCTCCGCGTCGCACCCCCCCGCCCCCCCCTCGCGCCCCCAGCTCCGCGAGAGGCCAGGGCCCCCGCCTTCCCGGCCCCAGCCCCCCACCTGGACCCCAGCCCGAACTGTGAGCAGACCCCCAGGCCGCGACGCTCCCCGCGCCCCCAACCGGGCACCCCGCTCCCTCCGCACTCACCGCCCAATCCGGGGCGCGCACGCGCCGCTGCCGCCACCGCGCCAAGGGGCCCGGGCCCCGCCCGCCCGCCGGCCCCGGCCCCGCCCCGCCCGGCCCGCCCCCGGCCCGCCCCGAGCCCCGGGTGGGCGCGGAACTCCCCGCCCGACCCCATTGCGCAGGTTGGGAAACTGAGGCTCCGCGGCAAACGGCGCCCCCGGGGCCGGGCAGTGAGTCAGCTAGAACCGGGGCTCCTGACGCACAGCCCGCCCCCATCGCTGCCGCCCCTCCCAGCCGGCTCCACGGGACGCAGGGCTGAGGCTGCGGCCAGGTGCCCTGAGGCAAGAGCCCACGCGGGCCGCGGGTAGCTAGCTCTCCACCCCTCAGGCTGAAAAGCTACTCCCGGGGATGGCCATCGCAACCGGGGGGCCAGGTCCCCAGGGGCTGGCTGAAGGCGACGGCTGCTCCGCAGCCGCACGTGGGGTGAACGGCAGTGACCCCCAAGGGCAGAGACGTCTAGAGATGGGGGTGGGGAGATGGGGGTGGCTGCCTCAGCAGCGCCCTGCTGGCTCCTAGGTGTGCGCCGAGCCTGGCTTCTGGCCACTGTGCCAGGTTAGGGGCCCTGCGGGGCTTCCACCGGGCTCTGCCTTTGTTCAGGACAGTTGGGACCACCCTCGAGTGCGCCTCAGGCCCCCGAGGAGTCCCCTGACTGCATGGTCACCGCGGGGGCTCCCAGGCCCATCCCCCCTCCTGTCCAGGCCCCTTTGCACGTTTGCAACGTGGGCTGAAGCAGCCCCGGGTGGTGCAGTGGGCAGCAGGGCCCACCGTGCGGCTGGCACAGTGGGGACCAGCTGTGGGGCGGCCGGCCCTCCTGGGAACTCTGTCGTTTGTGCACCGGGATTATCACAGCCCTCCCTGGGCCTGCCCGTCTCAGCAGTGTCTCCCTGGAACCCAAGCCCTGGCCCTGTTTACCTAAGTGCATGTGTGTGCAGGTAAAAGGTGCCCAGGCGGGGCCAGGCCCCCTGCTGCTGCCCGGGGCACTCACCTGGGGAAGGGGGCTCCCTCATGCCCCAGACGCTGGTGGCAGCTGCTCTTCTGGGTGGTGGGGGCCGCCTGTGCCTTCCTGGTGCCGGGGTCTGTGGGTCAGACACATAGCCTTGATCATCCTGACATGCCAGGGCAAGTGGGGGGACGGGCCAGCCTCCGTGCCGCTGAGGGCCCTCAGCCTGCACTTGGCCACTCGGCTCTGCCCACACCCTTGGCCTGGGTGTGTTCGTTGCCGGGGGGTCCTGAGACCCCCAGACAGAAAGCTTCTCTGCACAGCCCGGGGTGCTGGGTGGGTGTCCTGTGGGTACACGGGGAGGGGGCCTTCGGGCAGAGCCAGCAGCTCCAGGACATCCGGTTCAGGCCTCCCTTGGTGCCCAGGAGGAGAAGGAAGAGGCCCGAGGTGGCTGGACGGGAGCCCCTTCCTGGACCAGGGGGCCCGGAAGCCCCTGGAAGATGCTCTGAGGGCGGCTGGGGAAGCCGCTGCTGGAATGCTAGGATGGTTAAAGCGGGGGGGGGGCGCCCTGCCACTGGAGGGGTCTCTTCCCTCCAACCCCAGCAGGCAGTCCCAGGCAGTAAAGAGTTCCCGGGCCAGGCCTAGGGGGGACTGAGGGGAAAGCTGCCCTGCTCCGTCCCCTGCCCCCATCCAGCCCCTGAGGCTGGTCACTTGACCCTTTGACCTCCAGCCTGAGCCAAAAAGGGGAGGCCTGGAGCGCTGGATGGGCTGGTCCTTGCTCGGCTGCTAAGCTGGGTGGTGGGTTAGCCTCTGCGTTCTCCGCTGGAACGTGGATGCTCGTCATACAGATGGCTGGGGAGGACAGGGAGGGGCCGGGGGTCCCTGTGCTCCCTTGGGGACCTATGCTGCTCTGGTAGGAGGCTCCTGTAGGGTGCCAGGGGGACCCCCGAATGCCCACACTGTGCCCTACCAAGTGGTCCCTCTCCCCGACCCCCAGCGAGGCCCACACGGCCCATCCTGGCTGCAGACTTGGCTTTGGGGTTCCTGTCTCCCCTCTGGTGCCCATCCCCGACACCCTTGGGGTGTTTGCCCACCCGTGGGGGATGCCCTTGGGACATGCAGGTCCCAAAGAAGAGGGGTCAGTGGGGCAGGGCGGGGGGGGGGGGGGCTGCTGCCAACCCCAGGGGCTTCCCCGGGAGAGCAGGGCGGCCCAGGAGGGGGTCTGATGGCAGGGTCACCGCTGCACCAGCTCCCCTTCCACAGGTCACGGAGCTGCTGGGCCGCCCAGCGCCGAGTACGGGGGTGGAGCAGGCCAGGTTGGAGTCCAGACCGGGCCGCCCCTGTGGGTGCCCTTGGCCAAGGTGAGGATGGCACCAGTAGGGGTGATGATGAGGTGGCCCCGGAGCGGAGAGCCCCCGGTGCTCAGCCCACAGGTGCCCGCGGCCAGCAGAGCCTGCTGAGGGCACTCGCCCCGTCCTGCCTGCGCCCCGTCCCTGCAGGGCTGCCCCTGCCGTACCTGCTGCTGCCCGCGCCCCGGCTCAGCCATGGCCACCTCTGCCGCCTCCCTGGGCCGGGGGTGGGCCCTGCCGGCCCTCGCCCGCCGCCTCGAGGCGCCTCTGGAGGCCGCCCGCCTGTCCAGTCTGCTCGAGCCTGCTCCTGGGCCATGGGGACAGCTGCCTCGGGGCAGGGAGGCTCCTCCCGGGACGAGGAAGGGCGGCTTTTTATGCTCCGTCCCGTGTAAATCGGGACTGGGATGGGCCCTTCCCGGCCGGACTTCCTGTGTGTGCTGCCCGCTGATAACGGGATCTGTCAGCGAACAAACAGGAGGCTGAGGGGGGCTGGGGGGCCGGCCGGGAGGCTGGGGCAGGGCTGGGGGAGCTGCTCCCCGGGGACTTCAGGGTCTAATCCTGAAGCAGCCGCAGACTTTGCTGGGGCCCGCCTGGTGACCCTGGGGCCCGACGGCCCCCACGTGTGATGGACGTGCCTGGCACCCAGCGCCCTCCCGAGGCCAGGGTCTCACCAGGCTGGCGGGGCCATGGGAGTGCGGCTCTGCAGACGGCCCGTCTGTCCTGTGACTCCTGGGCCCTCGGACGTGTGTGCCGGGGCCTGGGGCTGGGAGCAGCCAGGGTGGGCTGGGGGTGGGTGAGGGAGCTGGGGGGTCTGAGAACAGCCTGTTCTCTGGGTTCCTGGTGCCCTGAGTGGCCTTGGTGAGGGGAGGCGGGGAGGGCAGGCATCAGCCCAGAGCCTTCTCTAGGAATGGGGCAGTGAGCGCCTTGCTCCAGGGGTGAAAGTCCCCTGGTCCCACTTCTGTGGCCTTCACTAAGGCAGGGCTAGAGGGGTTCCCTGGCCCCCTCGGCCTCCTGAGGCCGGGGATGGCGTTGTGGGGGGAGTGCAAGAGCCTCTAGGTGGCCACAGAGGGTGCTCCCTCGGGCGCTCCAGGTGCTCCAGCCCCCAGGCCAGACCCTCAGGTTCCTCCTTCCGGCAGTGCACCAGTGGCTGTGATGCTGGCTGGGCGGGTGCCTCGGGGGACCCGGGCAGCGACCGGGGACACACCTGGCTGAGGGCCCCGGGTGAGCAGGGCCCCCCAGCCCGCCATCCTCGGGTCTCAGCGCTGCCCGGGGCTCCGCACTCACCCACCCACAGTCCAGGACACCCTCATTGCCCTGGCCTTGAGCCCCTCTCTCAGCCCTCCCTCCCTCCACCCCACCCAGCTTGACGCCCTGGTCAAGAAGGGAGCCAGGACAGCTCAGGACATTCCCCCGGAGTGCTGAGAGCAGGAGGGAACCTGCTCACCCTTATTGGGGCGGGGGGTGGGGGTCTTGGCGGTCAGCCCGGACTGCTCTCCCCGCTCCCCTTGGAGGGTGTCCTGTGGGCCCGGCTGTGGTCAGCACAGGACCTTCACATCTCCTGGCCTCAGTTTCCCCATCTGTTCCAGGGGGTCCGGTGAGATGCCAGCCAGTGGGGTGGCTGCGACTGCAGAGGAGGGGGCTGGCCCGTAAGCAGTGCGGGTCAGGTCTGGGGGGCTCACCCCCATCTCTTCCCTGCCAGCCCCCCGTGGCCTGCTCTCGCCCCTGGCTCTCTCACCCAAGGGCCCAGCTGCCCAGAAGCGCCGTGTGTCCTGCTGAGTGTACTAGGGGCCAAGTCGGGCTTTGCCTGCACCCAGAAGGTGGCCCAGACCCCAACGCCGACCCAGCCCAAGGCCCAGGGGTCAGCTCGTGCCCCTGGGTGGGAGAAACAGTGGACGTCAGGGCCAGCTGGGCTCGGCCCCATCTGCATAAGGATGGGAAGACTGAGGCCCAAGGGGGAAAGAGACTCACCCCAGGTGAGCAGGGCCCCCCAGTTCCTCCTGTGCACCCACCCCAGGGGGCAGACCTAGTCCTGCCAGGGAATGGGCTGAGGTTGCAAGCAGCTAATTAGCCAACTTGTGAAATAGTTAACGGGACCCTTCCCTCTGAAACGTGGGAAAGATTAGGGAATTTTCTGGAAGGGCGCCCAGAGCACACAGACTGAATGGTGGGTTGAAAGATGGAATTACAGGCAGGAGGTGGGGGTCCTCTGTGCCCCAGTCTGCCCGGCCCACTGGTTCTGGGACCGCCACTGCTCCGGGGCCCCCTCCCGACTAGCTCTGCCCTGCTGCAGCTCCGACAGGGCCCCGCCTGGCAGCCAGCCTGGCCCGGCCCGTGGCCTCAAACCCCTCCGCACCCAAATCTCAGGTCCTAGAGCCTCAGAGGCAGATGCCGGAGATGGGCTGAGGTCCCGCCCTGCCCCGGGCAGGTCGGGGACAGGCAGGGACTACATGGAGGGTGGGCTGGGTACCGGCAGAGGGTGAGGATGGTGCTGGCTGACACCCCGTCGGACTCCAGGAGGGTCCTGGGGACCTGCAGGGGGTCGGGGTGCCTCCTGCCCCATGGGTGTCCGCTCCCGGGGGCCGGGACGGGAGAAGCTCACTCTGTGTTCTAGTCTAGGCGACTCCAGGCCAGGCCCATCCCCATCCTCAAGGAGGCCCCCTGCCTGCCCCCCATGGCGTCTGCAGGGTCAGTGAGAGCACCACCACAGTGGGATCAGCTGGGGAAGGAGTTGGTGCCACCCTGAGGGTCTGGCCCGTGGCCCCTACCCACCCCAAGGCCCAGCACAGAGGTGATCACCTGGTGGGATCGGCCCCTCACTACCAGCGGCGCAGAGGCCTGGGCCCAGGGCAGAGCCCCAGTGGGGTCGGAAAACTGGCGCGTTCCCAGCTCCCGTGACCGGATCCTCGGCCCATGCTGGCCTCAGTTTCCCCACCCGCTCCCCGGTCTGTAGGCACGATGGTCCAGCGGCCTCCCAGCCCGCCTGCAGGCATCCTGGGGGTGATGGGAACTGAGTCGGGCCTCCTTACCTTCCCAGAGCGCACTGGTCAGGCCGGGGGCGTGGCGGGGGCGGCCAGGGCCTCCCGGTCCTGCTGGCACCCTCCCGGGAGCCCTCGAAGCCAGGCTTCTGGCCTCGGCAGGCTCAGGAGCAGACGGACTGAGCCCCTGGCAGAGGGCCGCACGGGCATTTGGGGCGGCTCAAGGGGCGCTGGGTGCAGCATGTGAGCCAGGCTGCAGGAGGGGAGGAACGGTACATGGGGCAGGGGAGAGCAGGGCTTCCTGTTTATCCCCCGCGGTGGCCCCTGGCCTCGGGGACAGGATGGCTCTGTCAGCCAGATTCCCGCCAGATGTAGCTGACCCTTCATCCAGGCGTGTGCCTGGTCCAGTGACCCATCCCCGGCAGGACTGGAAGGGAGCTCATGTTTCCCTAGGCCTAGTGTGCTGTGTACAGACTTGGATCGGGTCCCAAAGGGAACGGGAGCTCGCATGGGGAGAACAGGGGTCTGTCTGGCAGCCAGGGGTCTTCAGCTCTACCCAGGCCCCCCCCGACTCCTGCTTCACACCTCTTAGCGAGCGCTGTGTGCAGTGCTCATGTCTAACCCTTGAGCTGCTGCAGCTGAGGCTTGCCAAGGAGAGATGATCCCCTAGGCTCAGCCGGCGGGAAACAGAAGCTCTGAATGCGGAGCCCAGGGCTGCCTGGGCAGCGGGAGACCCTCGGGGCACCTTGGTCTTCTCCTTGCTGCTCCGTGGTCTTCCTCGCCGGGGACTCCTCACGCAGCCATCACGGCCTTTCTGCTGCTCATGTCCTGCCTCCCGACCCCGACCTCGGGTCCTGGTGGGTCCCCAGGGGCTCTGCCACTGCCCCGTCCTGGTCACCATTCCTGGCGGGTCGGCAGGGGCTGTGCCCCGTCCTGATCGCCATGCTCTCTTGGAGAGTCCCTGGTTGCAGGACAGGCATGAAGGCCACCCCCGCCCGCCATGCAGAGCGCTCCAGACTCCCCACAGCCTAGTCAGCACTTGCGGCTGTCCGCTGTTCTGTCTTGGCCATTCTGATGAAGGTGCAGGAGTATCGCTGTGCTGATATTTCTTTAATATAGGAATACGAAGGCAGTCTCATTTTTTGAACAACAGGTCTCCTCCCTGGGGAAGGACTCATATCATAGGGGAGACCCCCCCGGAGTGGGGTGAGAGCTGGGCAGGGGGCGCCCGGGGAGCAGGCAGGGCAGCTCCGAGGCAGCTGGGTGCGGGCCTCTGTTTCTCTGAGCTGTCTGTGAAGTGCAGCCACCAGTGCTCTGGCCGGTGGAGAGAGGAGGGACCACGTGGGCGATGAGCGTGGGGTCCCCCAGGGTGGGCGGCACGCTCCAAGCTCCCAGGGCCGCCAGGAAATGCTTGTCTCTAGAGCTGTTGGCCAGGTGGGGGTCACGGTGCCGACTGTGGCCAGGGGGTGGGGCCTGGGTCCCGCCCGGAAGCTGGCAGGTGGGCAGTGGAGGTCACAGCTGACCCCGGAAGGAGGCTTACTGAGCAGGGGGACCCCAGGAGAGAGCCTGACCCCCACCTGGCGCTGCAGTTGGGCCCTAACCCGCAGGTCCTCGGCCCTCAGCCCACGGCCCAGACACGTCCCGGGGCCTGGCTTTGCCTGGAGCCCAGGCTGCCCCAGCCCCACAGGGCTCCCTGCCCCCATCGTGAGGGGTTGAGGAAAGGGGGTTGAGCGCCCTGCCTGGAGCCCCGCACAGGAGCCCCACTCACGGTCAGGCTGCAGTTTGCCAAGCCTGATGGATAGGCTGGCCGTTAACCTGGGGGGAGAAAACACTTTATCTCCCGGGACGACGGAAAGGGAAGTTCCAGAGAACCGATGTGTGTGCTGGGGGGCGCGGGGGGCAGGTCAGTGGAGGTGGGTTACGGCTCAGCACCCGTGTCTGGGCCATGCCGTCCCCTCCCCGCCCGGCCCGCTCTGGGAGCATTGGGCGCCAGGCTCACCGAGACCTTCAGGGAGCAGAGTGGTGAGCCGGACCCCGGGGCCTGTTGGGGCCGTGCTGAGGGCACGTAGCCTGGGTGGGCTGTCTCGCCCACCCTGCGGGGCTGCCACCGCCGCCTGACCCCATCTGTGCAGGAGGAAGGGCCCCTTGGGATGGTGAAGACCGTCCCCGGCAAGATTGACCTTGAACCGGGAGCTGTAGCCCTCCCCAGGCCTCCACACGGGGCGGGCCTCAGGCGCAGTGTCCAGGCCACCCGTCCTCCCAGCCGTCTGGGGGAGAGGGGCTGGGAGCGGCGGGGCTCCCCTCCCTAGGGAGACCGTGTCGCCAGGAGAGTCTGCCATCTCCACAGGGCAGCCGCAGGCTCTGGGAAAGTCAGGGAGGTTAGAGGCTGGAAGTTGCCTTGCCTCAGTTTCCCTGCTTGTTAGAGCAGGGCCTGGGGAGCCCTGCGGGGGTAATCTGGGGATCCCGAAATGCGGTCACGGTGGACAGTTGTTCCTGAGCCCTTTCTGGGGGAGGGGTGGAGCTGCCCACAGCGTCCACCAGGTTCTCAAAGGGGTCTGTGTCCCCCACGTGCAGCCCCCCATGGGCAGTTCTGAGGTCCCTCCAGCCTCCACAGTCCAGGCTGTTCGGTCCCAGGCTGCCTGTGAGCATTGGATTTTAATATCCTTAAAAATGCACATCTCCTGCAATTAGCGGGCAGATTCTTTACCACTAGTTTCACAGAGAAGGGTGTGGGGGGAGGCCAGCTCTGCTGCCTGGCCAGGCCAGAAATCTCTGTTTCCTCTCGGCCAGGAAACAGGAAGTGAGTGTGCAGGGGAGATTGGGGGCCAGGCTCCGAGAACAATAGAACCCCCCTCCGGAGGGGAAGGGGAACTGCGTCAAGGGGCCGGGTGGGGGCCGCCTGACCTCGCCCCTGCAGTGCTCAGCCCAGGCGTAAATTTAGTCTCGGTTCTTTTCCTGGTGAGAAGATGCCCCGTGCTAGGGGGAGGGGGTGCACAGCCCGCCTCGGTCTCCGGGTGCAGGGCTCCCGGGATCTTAGGGACTATCTGGGTAACCTGAGGCCCGGAGAGGAGCAGGGTCTGGCCCAGGGACCGTGGGACGTGGGGGTGGGGCAGCTCAGCTGTCCTGATGGGGCTGCAGGTAGCTGGAGAGGCCCACGGGTGCGTGGGCAGAGAGCCTCACCAGGCCAGGGGACAAGAGTGGCTCCCCTGGCCCCTGCCTGCCCAACCCCCTGGCAGGTGACTCTGCTCCAAACAAGCAGGCTGTGTCCTGAGAGCCATATGGCCTTAGCCAGAGCTCCAGGCCGGGCCAGGGCTCAGCGAGAACCAAGGGCCAGCCAGTGGTTTCTTTTTATCATAGAACAGCTGTAGTGAGATGTAATTTACATGTTCCATAAGCCAGCCTCTTCAAGTCTGCAATTCTATAGCTTCTAGTACAGATGCCGAGCCAAGTGACCATCACCAGCTTCGATTTTAGAATGTTTTCAGCACCCTAAAGAAGCCTGCCTCCTTCTGCCATCTATTCCCTGACCATATGCTCCCCGCCCCCAAGCCCTGCACAACCGCCCACCTGCTTCCCGTCCCTCTGGATTTGCCTGTTCTGGACGCTTCCTACAGCTGTGGTCCTACGACGCGGGGGCTTGTGTGCGTGGCTTCTTGCACTCAGCAGTGTTCGAGGTTCAGGCGTGTTGCCCCCGGAGTTGGCGCTTCGTGCCTTTCTATGGCTGTGTGACGTCCCGTTGTGTGGATGGACACGTGTTACCTGTTCCTCAGCCGATGGGCCTGTGGGCATCTGTGAGCACGCATGTGCGGGTTTTTGTGTGGACTTGAACTTCTCTCAGGAATGTTCCTGGGAGTGGGACTTCTGGGCCGTGTGGTCACCCCGTGTGGTCCCTTGAGGAGCTGGTGGTGCCTGGCCACACGCCCGGCTCACCCCGGGACGGCTGGAGGGGCTGCTCCCCGATGGACCCTGGGGCGGAGTGGGAAACGCATACGTGGCGCCCAGACTTTGTGCGTTTTCTGGGCTGAGCTTGACGCCGAGCCCCGGCCCCTTGCGGCTCTTGGCCTGTGGGCCCTTCCCCCCCTGCCGGCCGCTGGCCGGGAGTTGCGGCGGGCTCCACAGGAGCCTGTACTCTGCTGGGTGGGCTGGACTCGGCCCCAGGGGCCCCCGGGAGCCACAGGGGGTCCCCAGCAGTCACCTCGGTGCCTGGGAAGCTCCTGCAGGCCTGGCCCCATTCTCACTGCCCTGGCCCCAGTTCGGGGACACGGGACCAGAATCAGGAAGGCAGGGCTCCCACCAGCTTGGGGAGCGAAGCAGTGCTGGGGTCTGACCTGGGCCGCATGTTCAGGACCCACCTCCGGGGTCCGGGGTCTTCTCCAGGCCCCAGTGTCCTCCACGGCAATGATCGGGGCACTCAGGACCCCTCAGCTAAAGCAGGTTTCCTGCTTGGCCCCACTGCCCCCAGGAGCGAGCTGAGGCCCCCAGAGGCCGCCTGGTGCCTGGTAGAGCTGGGTTAGGATGCAGGCGCCCGAGCCTCTGCCCCTCCCCCGCCGCTCCCGCCCCCTCCCCAGGTCCAGGATCCCAGGGGCCCCAGGTGAGCCGTGCTCTGGATATCCTGACCCTATGAGTCCCCACCAAGGCCCTGCGCTGGGGCAGTGCCCTTCCCACTGGCACCGAGTGTGACCTCTGAAGGGGGCCCTGCGCCCTTGCCTGGGGAGGGAGGGGGCGTGGGGCAGGCCCCTCCCCAGGCCCGGCAGGCACCCAGGTGCGAGAGTCACCCCGCTAGAGTCCTGGCTCCTCTGCCCCGGCCACCGGCCCGGCCCAGATGACGCCAGCCGGACTCTCAGCCAGGATGTGTGTCCCCGAGCCCCTGGCCCCCTCCCCAGCATCGCCAGGACCGCCTGGGGATCGCAGCTTCCGGAGCCAACCCGGCTCTGGACAATGGCCGGAAACGCCAGGCTCAGGCCGCGGGCCAGGCCAGCCACTGGAGCCCTGGGAGAGGCTGGCGGCGGCTCCGCACGAGCCCCAGGCCCCCTCCCTGGGGCCTGCTGTCTCGAGGGGTGGCTGTGTACAGCTGCCCATGGGGCTGGGCCATCGAGGACTCAGGAGGTGGGTGCAGGTGGCCGTTGCACCCAGGGCCCACCTCCACCCAGGCTTCGGGGAGTTATGCCCGCCTCCACCCTCCACGCACGAGTCCCAGCTCCAGGCCCCGCTGGGTTCATGGGGCAAAGCGCAGAGGGCTCCGGATTGCCCCCGGACATTCCCGAATGCTGCCTCCGATGGCTTATTGGGTCTGACTCAGGAGGCACAGGCGCCCCAACCCTCTTCCCATTCGGCTGCCCCACCGTTTAAAGGAACGACATCCCAAAGCAAAAGAGCCACCTCCCCTCTCTGGGCTGATCCCTGGAGCCTGTGGGCTGAGCTGCGGAGGGACAGAGGGACACGGCTCGGGGGAGGCGAGGAGACACCCACCCCCACTCTTCTGCCCCACCCCCACGCTCTGTAGCCAGAGAGGATGTGACTTCTCCAGAGGCCTGTGGCTGGGGCAGGACGGGAAGGGCCCTCTGGGCCCAGCATTGCTTATTTATACTGCATTTTATGATTCTAAAATGAAAATCAATCTCTGTGTGTGTCCAGCCCATGAAGTAATAAGTGCTCGTTTGGAAAGAACTGGCTGGATCAGATTCCCAAAAGCATGAAAGAGAAAGTGCCGCACCTCCATCTCATCTCACCACCTGGGGTCGGGGTGGGCCTGCCACAGCCCCTGCCCCTTAAGGCGGAGGGCGCCCCGGGTCCGCGCACCCTCGAGGCCAGCTCTGCCGAGTCTCAGTGGCTTCACAACCCCCAGGAGGAGGCACACTGGTAAAGATGGATTGTTTTTAGCACAGCTGTGGGTTCATGGCGACGTTGGGAGAATTCCCACAGACCCCCCTCCACCTCCCCGAGTGCAGCCACCCCCACCATCCGCACCCCTTGACAATGTGCTCGTTACAGGGGTGAGCTGACACTGACCTCCGCCCGGAGTCCACTCTGTGGCCCACCAGGAACACACACATCTTGGTGTCGTGTGTTCCCTGGATTTGCACAGGGGTGTCAAGATGTGTGTCCATCACGTGGACTCACGTGGGCAGCCTCACAGCCCTAAGTGCCCTCTGAGATGCACATATTTTATGTGGGCGCGTTCATGATTTTGGTGGCTGTAATCCCCATCGCAATGGGCCAAGCGGCCACCCATCCCTTGACGCACCCCCTCCCCCCGTGGTCACTGTGGTCACCACGCCCTCGGCCGGCCTCTGCCACCCTGGAAACACACAGCAGTGCCCAGAGCTCAGCTCGAGGCTTCAGAGATGGCATGAGCTGTGAGTGGGTGCACGGCGTCCCTGCCTGGGGCTAAGTGGACCACAGTCCAGAGCAAGTACATTTTTGAAGATGGAGCCCGCTGCGGCTCAGAAAGCAAGCATAGAATTCCCTCCAGCCATCCCCCTCCGAGGCGTGTACACCAAGAAGCCGCGAACAGGCCATCATCATCATTATTCTCCACGATAACCGAAAGCGGGGACAACCCGGGTGTCCAGCACTGACGAATGGCGCGTGGGTGATACCCACGGTCCAGCCGCTCGGCAAAACAGTGTTCAGCCAACGAGGGATGAAGCAGATGCCATGACCGCACGGACGGGCCTTGGAAACGTGATGCTGAGCGAAGGCCTAGGACAAGAGCGGTGTGATTCTATTTGTAGGAACTGCCCCACACGGGCACATCTGTTCAGACGGAAACCCAGCGGTGGGGACAGGGAGTGGGGATGATTGGTTAACAGATACGGAATTTCAGGTTGGGAGGGTGAAAAGTCTCTGGGGACAGACAGGCTGCACAAACTGTGAACGTGATTCATCCCACCGCGTTGTACACTTGAAAACGGTGAAGATGGCAGAAGCCCTGTTCTATACATGTTGCTGTCATTGTGCTCAGGGGCTCGGTTGTGGCCGACTCTTGGCGACCCCACGGACGGTAGCCCACCAGGCTCCCCTGTGTATGGGATCTTCCGGGCAAGGATACTGGAGGAGGCTGCCATGTCCTCCTCCAGGGCATCTTCCCGACTCGGGGATTGGACCCGAATCTCCCATGTCTCCTGCTTCGGCAGGCGGATTCTTTACCACTGAGCCACCTGGGAAGCCGTAATAGAATTAATAAAATATATCCAAACTCACTGAATTGTACATGTGGAGTGGGTGTGCTGAGTGGTATGTCAACAATATCTCAAGAAAGCCCTTTAAGGAAAGGCAGAGATGCCCCAGATCTGAGTGTTTCCTGAGCAGGTAGCCGAGTTTCTGCCCACCAGGCCCTGCTACCAACCCCGCAAGGCAGGGGGTCATGTCTTAGGGAGCCACGGGGGGCCGCTGGGGAGGCAGCCCGGGGGGTCCGACTCTCAGTTCCGGAAACAGACACGCGGCCCAGCCTTCCCGGTCACCCACCACCCCCTTACACTGGGGCGCGTGGTCCTCAGCCAAGGGCAGCCTCTGGGCTCCAGCGGGTGGGAGAGGCCCCTGCGGGGGCCGGTGCAGCCCTCCTCAGCTCAGCTCACCGGCTCTCTGTGGGACGGAGACCCCTGAGCGTGCGGGCCCCTGGGGGTGGGGTGATGGCCCCTCCCTGCCTGCCGTCAGGTCGCTTCAGGACAGGGCTGGTTTGGAGCCAGGCTGAGCCAGGCCCACGCTTCCCTGGGGCCTCAGGCACAGGAGGGGGCAGTGTCTGCCCTTGAGGGGGCCTGAGCCCGCCCAGGCCCCCGCAGCCGCCCTGGCGGACCGCTCCCCGCTTCCCCACCGCCCGGAGCTGAGCCAGCAGAGCGCGGGGCCTGGAGGGGACCTGGCAGGAAGGAAGCCTGGTCAGCTCAGTTCAGATTCCCGGCTGGTCCTGGGGCCCCTGCCCCCTGGGGGCCTCAAATTCCCCCAGACCCTGGACCACGGAGCCAGGGGCTGAGAGGAGGTGGAGGAGAGGGAGGCCACCGCCAGGCGCCCAGGCTTCTCACCCTGGCAGGAAGGGCTGACCGGAGCTGGGGACAAAAGGCGGACGTGCAGACAGCCATGTGCACCCTTATCAGGGTCCGCACTCGCCAGCCCGGCCTGGGCGGAAACGCTCCTCCGAGCCCGCCTTCCTGCCGTGGCCGGGCCCTGTGCAGGCTCAGGGAGGGGGCGGGGCGGCGGCCTGGGGGGCCACCTGGCCAGGGGTCTGGACTGTCACTTGAGTACCACAGCGGCATTATTCACTTAATGTCAAAGTTAGAGTTCTCCCCCTCTGTCAGATGAGGGGCCTGAGACCCAGAGCGGCAGTGATGGGCTGGGGGCCCAGGCACCCCAGAGGCCTGCATGGCCACTTGCCAGCCGGGGCGAGGAGGGCACCACACGGGCAGGGTGGGACGGACCCGGCGGAGCACGCCCGTCACAGCCGCACGGACGCCTTGGAGCCGCTCGCTTTAGCTCATGTGTCAGAAATGCGTCTTGATGCACAAACGTGGCGGCAGCTGCGGGCAGGGAGTGTGGGGGCTCTGTGGGTTTCCTACCAGGAAACAGTTGTGAGGAGGGCATCCTCTCCCCTCACCTAACCCTGGCGGGGGAGCAGGCACGTGTGCTCTGTTTTATAGAAGTGGTCCCACTGCCTGAGTGCCCTCCGTCCACCCCTGCAGTCCCTGCCCCCAGAGCCCAGGCCCCAGCTGCCCTCTGCTGGGCAAGGCTGGGCTGCAGGGAGCCCCCCCACATCCTCCCCGCTCCAGGGGCAGACTCGCAGGACCCTGGGCGGGCGGGGATGGGGGCCCCACACCAGCCATGTGGGCGGCCCTTCATGCCCACCCCCTGCCCATCCGTGTGGCCTGAAATCCCGCCTGGGGGCTGCCCCTCTGGGAGGAGGGGGTGGCCAGGGCGCAGGGCCCACCCTGCGCTGGTGACAGGGCCGGGCAGCTCTCCCAGCAGGGCTCCGACATTTGCTCCATCGCCGGCAAGCCCACAGGACTGGCTCTCCCAGCCCAGGGAGGACACGGGGCAGCGGGGACTCCGGGGAGCACAGCCAGCTCTCTGGGGTGGTCAGCACTGGGGGCAAACTGTCCCCCCATATTAACCCCCAAGCTAGGGTGACTCTTTACCCCAGCTACTGAGCCCAAGGTCGGGGGTGAGGACCGCTCTGCCCCACCCCCCAGCACGCCAGCTGAGGCCTCGGTGACCCCAGGCCCGAGGCTCTGCCCTGCAGACTTTGGTCGTGTCCCTCTGGAGCGGCATCTCTGTAAAACGGGCAGGGGTCTCCCCCGCTTACCCCCTGCTTCCTCGGGCTGAGGCCTATCATGCTCAGGGCTTCCACCTCCATGAACCGTGGTTGGCTTGATCATTCCCGGGTCCCAGTTGAAGAGAAGGAGGCACAGAGAAAGGAGTGGTTTTCAGCCCTGGTACCCAGGGAACCCTTGCAAGTCCCCTGGGGGGGGGGGGGGGGCCTGCTGACCCCTAGGTCAGGGCCTGGGCAGCAGGGACTTTGAGAACTCCCCCGGGGGGCCAGGGTGAGGCCGGGGTGGGGGCCCCTGTCTTGGGTGGAACAGTCCCTGGGGATGGGGCACCCCGAGAGACAAACTGCCAGGAACAGCCGGGGAGCAGGGTCCTGGGGGCCACCATCGCCCCCCCACTGCACCCCGACATCAGTGGCCAGGCTCTCCTGAGGGCGCTGGGCGTAGAGAGCACCCGGGGCCCCCAGCAGGGCGCCCTTCCTGCAGAGAGCGGGAGGGCTTGGGGGAGCCCCGGGTGCTTCAGCCTCACCCGCTCTGCATCCCTGGCGGGTGGCCGGGTGGGTGGACGAGGACGGGCCGCTGGCTGTTCCCAGCTGCGTCTCGGGGGACATGTGGAGCCCAGTTCTGGGGCCGAGGTCCCAAGTCTGCTGCAGGATGTGACCTCAGTGTCCGAGCCTGAGATCAGGTGATGGCCAGGCAGGCCCCTCAGGGGGTTTGGCTGTGAGAGTCCCTCCTGTGGGTCCCGGCTTGGGCCTGTGGCCCGTCGCGCGAGAGGCTGAGGCTGCAGAACTGGGCTCCGTGGTCATGCTGGGCCGGGCCGTGCCCGTCTGCCCCGGCCCCGTGGGCAGCCCCGCTGAACCGCAGGACGGGACGTGCTCCGGGCCGCAGGAGGGCCAGCGCTCGTGTCCAGAGCACGTCCACACTTGGCCCTGGCCCAGCCTGTCCGGAGGCCCCGCCTCTGCCGACCAGCCAGGACGGAGGGGTCCCCGGGGGCCTGGTGCCTTGCCTTCCTCACTGACCCACCCCCCTGGGCTGCTCCGGGGACACCACGTGCACTGGGGACCCCAGCCGCCTGTCCCCCCCGAGGCCTGGCCTGAGCCCTTGATCCCTGGGACACGTGGCTCCCACCTCCATGCTCCTGGGGGCTCCCTGGGGGCAGAGGTCATCTCTTGACCCCACTCGGTAGACACAGGCCCAGTCCTGGAGGCACCGAGGCCTACGTGGTGAGAGGTCAGCACAGCTGTTGCCCATCCCTGTCCCTTCCAGGCCTGGGGGAAGGGAGTCGGGGGATGCTGGGGGAGCCTCTCAAGACGGCTGGGCCCAGAGGCCTAGGGTCCTCAGCCCCACCGCCCTCCGTCTCTGCAGCCGTTGGGCTTGGAGGTGAGCAGGGGCAGGCGCCGTGCTGCGCACCCACTGGCCACCAGGCGGCGCTGTTAGCCGCATGGCCCCAGCCAGTCGTCCTGGAAACCCTGGGCGGGGCTTTGGGCGGGTCTGAGCCGGCTCACGTGGGCAGGCACCCTCCCCTGACCGCCTGGCCGCTGTCTAGGGTCGCCCGGCTCCTTGTTTTCTCCCGAAGATGCTTCGGGTGCAGCGGGGTCAGCAGACCAAGCTGTGATGAAGCCGTTCCTTCCGTCCGCCAGAACCCTTGGGCCCCGAGGTTTCACCCCGGAGGCTTCGCCCCGGGTCTGCTGCCAGACCCCTGCCGGCTCTCAGGGTCTCTGCCCAGGGTCTCAGCACCTGCGAGGGCCCAGCGGAGCCAGGAGCACGGGGCGGTCCCCAGCGGGGAGTGTGCGTGGGTTGCCAGGACCGCCACCTGGTGCCCGGGCCCCTTGGCGTGGCCCCTCGGAGCCCCCGGCAGCTGTCCCTCTGGTCCCGTTGTGACGGCTCAGGGCTGTGAGTCCTGCGGGACCTACGGCCTGGCCTGGCCTCCCGGCATAGGCGGAACAGCAGGGGCACAGGATGCGTCTGTTTTCTGGGCTCCCCCTGAGGTGCCCGGCGCCCGTGTGTGCTGAAGGCCTGGGTGAGGCAGCTGGTTTCCTGGCTTCCCATCTCTGCCCCTGGAGAGGTGATTCCTCACCAGCAACAGAGGCATACAGCCTTGTGGGTGACGAGGCCTGGTTCCCCAAACCCTGGGACCCACGGGGCATTCCTGTGATGATGGGAGAGAGAGGCACCGGGATCACAGCTGAGCTGCAGGCTTAAGGAGAGGCCGGTGCAGGGGGCCGGGTCACAGAGGGCTCCAGCAGGTGGGCATTTGGGAAAGGGGTGGACTCGGGCAGACCCCGTATGTACGACCACATTGACCGCGTCTGTTGGATGCAGGTCATGAGTCTTCTGGAGGCCGGGCTGTCTCTCGGTGTCTGCTGGCGGGCAAGGTCATGGAGGCACTCTTATCTCGGCTGCCAGCTTTAGACGGGTCAACGGGCACCGTGACTGTGGTGACTCCCGGGTCCCCGGTGTGCGGCTGCGGCTCTGGATGATGTTCCTCTCCGCGCAGAGCTGAGCTGCTCGGATCCGTGTTTGTCGTACAATATAGAGGACGTGAGATTTGCCATCCTAACCTTGTTTAAGCGCGCAGCTCCGTGGCAATAAGCACATTTACATTGTGCTTAATGGACACTTCTCTGGTGGCTCAGATGGTGAAGAATCTGCCTGCAATGCAGGAGACCCAGGTTTGATCCCTGGGTCAGGGGGATCCCCTGGAGAAGGGAATGGCAAGCCTCTCCAGTACTTTCTCCTGGAAAATCCCATGGACAGAGGAGTCTAACAGGCTGCAGTCCACGGGGTCATAAAGAGTTGGACACAACTGAATGACCAAACAACAGCCCATTAGAACGGCTATGATCCACTCTACACGCGCCGTCTCCCCTCTCTCAGCCCTCCACCTACTGTCTGCCTCTGTGGATTTGACTTCTCTAGGGCCCTCGTTGTATGAGTCAGGGTTTCCCAGACAAACAGAATCAATGGGGTGTGTCTGTGTATTTTCCAAGAGATTTATTATGAGGAATTGACTCACGTGTTTATGGAAGCTGTAAGTCCCAAGGTCGGCAGGATGAGTGAGACTCAGGGGAACCAAGGTTTCATCTGGACTCTGAAGGTAAGAAAAGATCAATAACCCGGTTTGAAGGCCCTCAGGCAGGAAGAATTCCCTCTTATTCTGGGTTGGTCGGTCACTCAGTTGTGTCTGACTCTCTGCGACACAGGAGAGGCGGCACACCAGGCTTCCTGGTCCTTCACCATCCCCCGGAGTTTGCTCAAGCTCATGTCCAGAGGTCAGCCTTTTGTTCTGTTCAGACCATCAACTATTGGAAGACGCCTGTCTGCATTAGGGAGGGCAATCTGCATTACTCAGTCTACTGATTTAAAGGCTAATCTCAGACAAAGGAAAAAGAACTCTTCATGGGAAAACCCGGAATAACCTTTGACCAAATATCAGGCACTCGGGCCGGTCAAGCAGACACATAAAATTAACCGTCACACTCATATCACTGGAATCCTACAGGTTTTGTCCTTTTGCACCTGGCATATCTCACTTAGCATGATGTTCTAAGGTTCATCCTTGTAGCCTGTGTCGTCATCTCCTTCCTTTCTGAGGTTGCACAGTGCTGTGTGGTTTGGACACAGCACGTCTTGTTTACCCTTCCTCCGTCAGTGGACGCTTGGGTCGCTTCCACCTTTGGCTACTGTAAATAATGCAACAGTGAACACAAGTGTGCAGACCTCTCTTTATGTCCCTATGTCCAGTTTTCTGGAGTGTACACTCAGATGAAAGTGCTGCACTCAATATACCAGCAAATTTGGAAAATTCAGCAGTGACCACAGGTCTGGAAAAGGTCAGTTTTCATTCCAATTCCAAAGAAAGACAATGCCAAAGAATGTTCAAGTGAAGGTGAAAGTCTCTCAGTCGTGTCCGACTCTTTGCAACCCCATGGACTATACAGTCCATGGAATTCTCCAGGCCAGAATACTGGAGTGGGTAGCCTTTCCCTTCTCCAGGGGATCTTCCCAACCCAGGGATTGAACCTAGATCTCCTGCATTGCTGGTGGATTCTTTACCAGCTGAGCTACCAGGGAAGCCCCTTCAAACTACCGCACAACTGCACTCATTTCACAGGCTAGCAAAGTAATGTTCAAAATTCTCCAAGCCAGGCTTCAACAGTATGTGAACCGAGAACTTGCAGATGTTCAAGCTGGGTTTAGAAAAGGCAGAGGAACCAGAGATCAAATTGCAAACATCTGTTGGATCATAGAAAAAGCAAGAGAATTCCAGAAAAACACCTACTTCTGCTTTATTGACTACGCTAAGGTCTTTGACTGTGTGGATCCCAACAAACTGTGGGGAATACTTAAAAAGATGGGAATACCAGAACAACTTACCTGTCTGCTGAGAAACCTGTATGCAGGTCAAAAAGCAACAGTTAGAACCGGACATGGAACAATGGACTGGTTCCAAGTTGGGAAAGGAATATGTCAAGGCTGTATTTTGTCACCCTGTTTATTTAACTTATATGCAGAGTACATCAAGCGAAATGTTGGACTAGATGAAGCACAAGCTGGAATCAAGATTGCCGGGAGAAATATCAATAACCTCAGACATGCAGAGACACCACCCTTATGGCAGAAAGCGAAAAGGAACTAAAGTTCCTCTTGATGAAAGTGAAAGAGGAAAGTGAAAAAGCTGACTTAAAACTCAACATTCAAAAAACAAAGGCCAGGGCATCCAGTGCCATAATTTCATGGCAAACAGATGGGGAAACAATGGAAACCGTGACAGACTTTATTTTCTTGGTCTTGGCGATCACTGCAGATGGTGACTGCAGCCATGAAATTAAAAGATGCTTGCTCCTTGAAAGAACAGCTATGACCAACCTAAACAGTGCATTAAAAAGCAGAGACATTACTTTGCCAACAAGAGTGTGTATAGTCAAAGCTGTGGTTTCTCCAGTAGTAGTGTTTAGATGTGAGAGTTGGACCATAAAGAAAGCTGAGCTCCGAAGAATTGATGCTTCTGAACTGTGGTGTTGGAGAAGACTCTTGAGAGTCCCTTGGGCTGCAAGGAGATCAAACCAGTCCATCCTGAAGGAGATCAGTCCTGAATATTCATTGGAAGGACTGATGCTGAAACCAAAGCTCCAATACTTTGGCTGCCTGATGCGAAGAGCTGACTCATTGGAAAAGACCCTGATGCTGCGAAAGATTGAAGGCGGGAGGAGAAGGGGACGACAGAGAATGAGATGGTTGGATGGCATCACCAACTCAATGGACATGAGTTTGAGCAAACTCCAGGAGACGGTGAAGGACAGGGAAGCCTGGCGAGCTGCAGTTCGTGGGGTCGCGAAGTCAGACACACCTGAGCGACTGAACAACCACAGTCAGGTGAGGACCTGCTGGATCAAGTGAATTCAGTGAGTTTTGTCCATTGGATACACTCACGCGGCCATCATGAAAAACCAGATTTAGGGCATTTCCATTAGGAAAAACTTTCCCTTCCGGCTGTGACGGAGAATTTACCGTCCCACTTGAACAACCAAAAAAAAAAACAGTGAACAACCAGACAGTGAATGAAAGGCTGGCTCTGAAGGCACTGGCCACCAGGTAACGTGGGACAAAGATCCCCGAGAGAAGGGGCAGGTGGGGTGGGCCCCACACCAGCTGCAGCTCACGGTCTTGAGGGAGTTTCCAGGTTGTGGTGTGAGAAGAGGGACGCGGTGGTCCTGGTGGGTCCTCTGGGTGAGTCTGGGGAGGTCAGGTGGCTAGCTGCCGTGATACAATGTCAGAGAGGAGAGAGCTGCCCCGAGAACACTGACCAGCTGAGATGGTCCCTGGAGCGGCCGGTGGGAGACTGGCCCGTGCCCACCTTGGAAGGGGCGTGTGAAGAGCCGTCTGGAAAGGTGAGATGCTACGGTTCACCATCGCGCTGCGGGCTCCCGTCAGCCAGACCTCTGGACAAGCTCGCCTCTGTGATAGAGAACAGTGAGCCCCAGACTGAGCTGCATGGCAGCATGACTCGGTGGACGAACTCCAGGAGATGGTGAAGGACAAGGAAGCCTGGCGTGCTGCAGTCCGCAGGGTTGCAGAGAGTCAGACACGAGTGAGCAACCAACAGCAAAACTTGAGTCCTGCTCTGGAGCCACTTAACAAGTCATAAAAGCGAAGTTCAAAAGGATCACCCTGTTCCCAGGTGATGTCACTGCGTCCTAGAGCAAAGCTTTGGAAGATCTGCAGGAACACAAATCATCCAGCACTCGATGAGGCAAAGCTCACAATGACAGGCACGCAAGCAGAAATGAGCAGACACGCCAGGAAGCAGGGAACTCGACCCCTGAGGAGAGTATAACCAGTCCTCCAAGCCTCCCCAGGGTTCACAGAGACGTTATCATGAACCAGCAGAAAAGGACATGAAGAGAGTTATTTAACTGTGTTCTGTATGTGCAAAAGTTACGTAAAACCGCAATGAGATACCAGTATCAGAAAAACAGAAAATAAGTGTCGGTGAAGATGTGCAGAAGGTGGAAGCCTTGTGCATTGTTCGTGGGAGCGCAAGATGGTGCAGCCACTGTGGAAAAGGGCTTCCAGGTGGGTCAGTGGGAAGGAATCTGCCTGCCAAATGCAGGAGACACAGGCTCGATCCCTGGTTTGGGACAATCCGTTGGAGAAGGAAACGGCAACTATTCTTGCTGGGAAAATCCAATGGACAGAGGAGCCTGGCAGGTTACAGTCCATGGGGTCATGAAAGAGTCAGACATGACTTAGCGACTAAACAACAATGACCAACAACTGTGGAAAATAATATGAAGTTTCCTCAAACAAAAATAGAGTTACTCTATGACCCAGCAGTCTCATTGTTAGGTATGTACCCGAAAGGACTGGAAGCAGGGTCTAGAGGAGAGATTTGCACGTCCACATTTATTGCAACATCTTTCACAGATGCCAAGATGTAGAAGCAACTCAGATATCCCCTGAAGGATGGATGGATAGAGAAAATGTTGTTTATCAACACAGTGGAATATTATACATCCTCAAAGAGGAAGGAAATCCTGACAGCTGCCCTCATGAGGGACGCTGAGGGCATTGTGCCAAGTGAAATAAGCCAGTCACGAAAGGACAGACATTGATTGATTCCATTTACACAGGGGCCCGGAGAAGTCAAACCCCCAGAAACAGGAAAGGGGAGCCAGGGTTTCGCAGGTGCAGAGTTTTCTCCTTGCAGATGAGAAGCTCTGGGTGTGGGTGATGGCGATGGCTGCCCAGCAGTGGGAAGGCACGTCAGGCCCCTGAAATTTACCCTTTAACAGTGGTTCAGGTGCTGAATGTGATGTTGCGTGGACTTTTTTTTTTTTTTTTTTTGCCTCAATTGAAAAAAAAGAGAGCGATGAAAAGACAAAGAAAAAAGGTCCGTAGAGACAGAAAGCAGGACAGCGGAGGCCACGGGCTGGGGGTGGGCTGGGAGCTCGTGTTTAAGGGGAGAGAGTCTGAGTCTGGGGAGGGGAGAAAGTTCTGGAAAGAAGGACGGTGACGGTTGCACAACGTTGCGAATGTACTTTTGCCACAGAGCGGTGCACTTAGAAATGGTTAGGGCTGTAAATGTTTTATGTGGATTTTACCACAGTTTTTTTAAAAAATTGTTTTTTAAAGTAGAGGCAAGAAAGGCATCACCTCAGGAAGTTCCCTCGGGCCCTCCCTCTCCCCAGCCCGGCCCCACGACCACTTCCGGGTTCCCGTCCCCACGGAGCGCTGTGACGGCGCTTGGACGTCCTGTAGACGGAGTCAGACGGCCCGTTCTCGTCCGCGTCGGCGGCTTCTGGGGCTCCGCAGCCTCTCTTAACATTGTAGATCACACGTTGAATTTTACTATCACAGCTTGTTTAATATAGCTGGAGCCTGGAATACTCTCGGGGTTCCATTACAAATTCTGAAGAAGGGTTGTTGTCTTTTTTAAATTCTTTTTTAAACATTTAATTTATCTATCTTAATTGGAGGCTAATTACGACATTGTAGTGGCCTGCACCACACACTGACATGAATCAGCCACGGTGCACACGCGTCCCCCCATCCTGAACCCCCGCCCACCTCCCTCCCCTTCCCATCCCTCTGGGTCACCCCAGTGCCCCGGCCCTGGGCGCCCTGTCTCAGGCATCGAACCTGGACTGGCCATCTGTTTCACACGTGACAATATACATGTTTCAATGCTGTTTTCCCAAATCATCCCACCCTCGCCTTCTCCCAGAGAGTCCCAAAGTCTGTTCTTTATCTCTCTGTGTCTTCTGCTGTCTCGCATATAGGGTCATTGTTACCGTCTTTCTGAATTCCATATATATGCGATAGTATCCTGCATTGGTGTTTTTCTTTCTGACTTACTTCACTCTGTATAACAGGATCCAGTGTCATCCCAAATTCTGTACAATTAAGAGGCAGTTACACTTGCTGACGTTTTCCCTGGTGGCTCAGCTGGTAAAGAACGCGGCTGCCAGTGCAGGAGAAGCAGGGGATGTGGCTTCCATCCCTGGGTCGGGAAGATCCCCTGGATCAGGAAATGGCGACCCACTCCAGCATTCTTGCCTGGAGCATCCCATGGACAGGGGATTCAGTCCACGGAGTCACAAAGAGTCAGACCCAACTGCGCGCACGCACGCCTGCACACAAACTCGGTAAAGAAGAAGCTGATAAACAGATAAATTAGTGGAGGGAAGGAAAGTCCCAGGACAGAGCGTCCCAGGACAGACGGCAGGGCAGGTTCGAGGGAGGAGGTGGATGACCTCGTCCACCCGCTCAATAGCTCCTCAGGCCCCAACAGGGATCAAAGGGATGAGGACGGTTTCTAAAACTGGATGGGAATCCTGTCCTGAGCGTTTTTAGAAAGTGAGACCACGCCTTGGCACCCACAGTGTTTCTCTTCGATGTTTCCATCTGTAGCATATGCTATGAGTTATAAGTATGGAATTTGGATTTTACCAGCCTGCCACGTGCCTTCAGCCTACATTTTAAGCTAAACTTTTAAAGTAAACTTTTGATGTTAGGACAGATTCAGACACACACAAAACATCAAAGATAGTTCAGAGGGTTGTCATACGCGCCGCACCTATTTCCCCTCTATGAACATCTTACATCAGTAGAGTCACAACATCGACACAATATTTATCATCAGCTAAAAGTCCGAACCTGAGTCACATTTCCTTAGTTTTTTCCCTCAGTCCCTTTCCTGTCCCAGGACCGCCCCCCCCCCCCCGCCCCAGGATGTACCAGACAGTTGGTTGCCACGCCTCCTCGGCTCCTCTGGGCTGTGAGTTTCTCAGACATCCCTGGGTTTTGATCACCTTTGATGGTTTCGAGGAGGACTGGCCAGATTTCACAGAAGGCCCCTCTGCGGGGATTTGTCTGATGTCTTCCTCAGGACTGGAGTGATAAGTTTCGGGGAAAGTACACAGAGGCAGGGTGCCCTTCTCAGCTCGCTGGAGCAGAGGTGTTTGCTGGCAGCATGCCGGAAGGCTGAGGATACAGACCTTGACCACCTGGCTGACATGTCTCCAGGCGTCCTCAGCAAAGCTACGTTGCCCGCCTTCCCTGCTGTCCCCTGGAAGGAGGTCCGTGTGCTCCTCTAGGGAGATGGGGCAGCGCCTCCCCAACACCAAGAGCACTGTCTGCCCATGCAAGGGATGCAGCTTCCATCCCTGGTCCGGGAAGATCCCGAATGCCACCAAGCCCGTGTGCCACAACTCTTGAGCCTGTGCTCTAGAGCCCAAGAGCCACAACGAGCTCAGCCCACGCGCTGCAACTGCTGAAGCCCGAGCTCCGCAGCAAGAGAAGCCCCGCAAGCAGAAGCCCGTGAACCTCAGCGCGAGCATAGCCCCACCGCCGCAGCTAGAGAAAAGCCCGTGCAGCAGTGAAGACCCAGAGCAGCCGAAAGTAAAATAAGTGGATACGATAATTTTTAAATATTAAAAAAAAAAAGAAATTATGCTGCTTCTCAGATTTTCCCAGCAGGGGCTCTGTCGGGGTGGCGTCTGTGTGTACTGATACCCGTGTCCCCATTGCGGGTTTGTTTTTTTCCGTGGTGTGGGGGGTGGCCGAGCACTTCCTTACTTTCTGGCACCAAAAGGTGCTCCAGACTCATCACCTGCATCTCCCGCCACAGCCCCGGGATCAGCCATTTCTCTAAGACACTCTGGTTCCTCCAATGGAAGGTGTTAGAAATCAAGGTCTGGGTGCTGCGGTGCTCGTGGCCGTTGGCGTGTCATAGCTGCTAGGCGCATCCACAGAGCAAGGAAACATAAGTGCGTATGGGAACCCAAGTGTGCGCACCACCGGTAGACATTTCTCTGTGTTACGTCTATTTCCGTGTGAAGCTAATCACAAGGTCCTGCTGACGACTCCCACTCTAACCCCTCACAAGGGCGGTTCTAGCACCTCCCTGAGAGGCCCACTGCACCAGGGACCCCCGGCTCCTTCCGCTGAACTGTGCCATTCCAAAAGGCACATGCTGCGGTTCCTGGGGGAAAGCGCCTCACCGCTGTGGCGTTTTGATGCCGTGCACGCCCTTGTGCCTGCGGCTCCTTTTCGGGGTCAGCCACAGCCTGAGAGGCTGGGCCTCTCAGCTGCTCACGGGCATCTGATTGGCTTCTGCCCTTCGGCTCTTACGAATGGGGCTTGCTGGAACATTCCCGTACCAAGGCTGGAACGTTCAGCCTTGGTGACTGAGGCACGCAGATGCTAAGACTGGCCCCTGACGAACGCACCCCATTTTGAGCAGGTGGGACCTGTGATATGACCCGCTGTTACTCCTGGAACAAATCATGTTGTGTGGCTACAGGGGATCAGGCGGTGAGAGGGACTCAGCCACAGGGTCCCTTAACGCAGTCTCCCCCAGTGGAGGAGAACGCTGCACTGTTGTTTTACAGATGGAGGGAGCCCGTGCC